ACAAAGGTCCAAAACGACTTGCAAAGAATATACAAGCTCATTAAGCAGCAACACAAGCTTTCCAAATCATCGCAGCTCCAGATCAAGAACTTGTACAGCAACGTCATCCGCTCTCTTTCCATGAACGAGGGCCAAATCATGCCTAGTGAGAACGGCAAGGCTGTCGGTGGCAAGCGGGGTCGCAACGGTCGCGTGCACGCCTCTAAACAAGGCAAGGTCGAGACCATTCCCTTCCTGCATCTCAAGAGGAAAGATGATCACGGTTGGGAGTACAGCAAGAAGCTGACCGGTGTCTACCTCGACTGTCTTGAGGATGCCGCCAAGTCTGGTGTTACGTTCCAGGGCAAGTATGCTCTTATGACGGGTGCTGGCGCTGGTTCCATTGGTGCCCAGGTCCTTCAGGGCCTCATCAGTGGTGGAGCCAAGGTTGTTGTGACGACTTCTAGGTTCTCACGCGAAGTCACTGAGTACTACCAATCCATGTACTCACGATATGGTGCTCGCGGCTCCCAGCTGATTGTTGTGCCTTTTAACCAAGGTAGCAACCAGGACGTTGAAGCCTTGATTGACTACATCTTCGACACCAAGAAGGGCCTCGGCTGGGACCTTGATCTTATCGTTCCTTTCGCCGCCATCCCCGAGAATGGCCGTGAGATTGACAGCATTGACTCCAAGTCTGAGCTCGCACATCGCATCATGCTGACCAACCTCTTGCGTATGCTCGGAGCTGTCAAGAAGCAGAAGCAGGCTTACGGTTACGAGACCCGCCCAGCACAAGTCATTCTTCCCTTGTCGCCCAACCATGGCACTTTTGGCAACGATGGTCTCTACTCGGAATCCAAGATTTCGCTAGAAACTTTGTTCTCAAGGTGGCACTCAGAAAGCTGGGGCAACTACCTCACGATTTGCGGTGCTGTCATTGGCTGGACCCGTGGTACCGGACTTATGGGCGCCAACAACATTGTCGCCGAAGGTATCGAGAAGTATGGTGTACGCACCTTCTCTCAGCAAGAGATGGCCTTTAACCTGCTTGGTCTGATGGCGCCACCGATTGTCAACCTGTGCCAGGTCGAGCCCGTTTGGGCAGATCTCAACGGTGGCTTCCAGTACATCCCCAATCTCAAGGACCTCATGACAGACCTCCGCAAGGAGCTCACGGAAACAAGTGATATCCGCAGGGCCGTCATTAAGGAAAACGCTATCGAGAACAAGGTCGTCAATGGCGAGGCGAGCGAAGCTCTGTATAAGACAGCCAAGATCGAACCCCGTGCAAACATGAAGTTCGATTTTCCCAAGCTCCCTGATTGGGATACCGAAGTCAAGCCTCTTAACGAGAACCTCAAGGGCATGGTCGACCTTGAGAAGGTTGTTGTCGTTACCGGTTTTGCCGAGGTTGGTCCCTGGGGTAACTCGAGGACGCGCTGGGAGATGGAGGCCTACGGCGAGTTCTCCATTGAAGGATGTGTTGAGATGGCCTGGATCATGGGTCTTATCAAGAACCATAATGGTCCTCTCAAGGGCAAGAGCTACTCTGGCTGGGTCGACGCAAAGACAAACGAGCCAATTGACGACAAGGATGTCAAGCCAAAGTACGAAAAGTACATTCTTAAACACTCTGGGATCCGTCTTATTGAGCCAGAGCTGTTCAACGGCTATGACCCTAAGAATAAGCAGCTCATGCAAGAGATCCAGATTGAGGAGGACCTTGATCCTTTCGAGGCATCCAAGGAACTAGCGGAAGAGTTCAAGAGGGAGCACGGTGACAAGGTTGAGGTTTTCGCCATTGAGGACTCAGGCGAGTACACTGTCCGGATGAAGAAGGGTGCCACTCTTTTGATCCCCAAGGCCCTGCGCTTCGATCGCCTTGTTGCTGGCCAGGTCCCGACTGGTTGGGATGCTAAGAAATACGGCGTGCCTGATGATATCATCTCACAAGTCGACCCAGTAACATTATTCGTACTTGTTTCCACTGCCGAATGTCTGCTTTCCAGCGGTATCACCGACCCCTACGAGTTCTACCAGTATGTCCACCTTTCTGAAGTTGGTAACTGCGTCGGTTCCGGTATTGGTGGTACTACTGCCCTTCGAGGAATGTACAAAGACCGCTTCATGGACAAGCCAGTCCAGAAAGATATTCTCCAAGAGTCCTTCATCAACACCATGAGCGCTTGGGTCAACATGTTGCTCATGTCGTCCACCGGTCCCATCAAGACCCCAGTCGGTGCTTGCGCTACTGCTGTCGAATCTATTGACATTGGTTACGACACGATTGTGGAGGGCAAGGCCCGCGTCTGCTTCGTCGGTGGTTTTGATGACTTCCAGGAGGAAGGCTCGTACGAATTCGCCAACATGAAGGCGACTAGCAACGCTGAAGACGAGTTCGCCCATGGTCGCACACCGAGGGAGATGTCCCGTCCTACCACAACCACCAGGAACGGATTTATGGAGTCTCAAGGTTGCGGAATGCAGGTCATCATGGACGCAAAGCTTGCTCTCGACATGGGTGTTCCCATTTACGGAGTACTCGGTTTCACGGCCACCGCAACCGACAAGATTGGCCGTTCAGTTCCTGCTCCTGGCAAGGGTGTGTTGACAACTGCACGCGAGAACCCATCCAAGTTCCCCTCGCCCCTCCTTGACATCAAGTACAGGAGGCGCCAGATGGACCTGCGACGCAAGCAAATCAAGCAGTGGCAGGAATCAGAGGTCCTTTATCTCCAAGAGGAGGTCGCAGCCATGAAGGATGTTTCTGGTGATGACTTCGATGAGTCGGCCTATCTCGAGGAGCGCGTTGCAAACATTGAAGCGGAAGCCAAGCGACAAGAGAAGGATGCGCTCAACAGCCTGGGTAACAACTTCTGGAAGCAAGATCCTCGCATCGCTCCTCTTCGTGGCGCTCTTGCGACATGGGGTCTTACAATCGATGACCTTGATGTTGCCTCTTTCCACGGCACTTCGACTGTTGCCAACGACAAGAACGAGTCCGACGTTATCTGCCAGCAGATGCGTCACCTCGGCCGCAAGAAGGGAAATGCACTACTTGGTATCTTCCAGAAATATCTCACTGGTCACCCCAAGGGTGCCGCGGGTGCATGGATGTTCAACGGCTGTCTGCAGGTGCTCAACACCGGTCTCGTACCGGGCAACCGCAACGCGGACAACGTCGACAAGATCATGGAGAAGTTCGATTACATCGTGTACCCATCACAAGCTATTCAGACCGATGGTATCAAGGCTTTCTCTGTTACTTCCTTTGGTTTCGGACAAAAGGGAGCCCAGGCTATTGGTATCCATCCCAGGTACCTATATGCTGCGCTTGAGCATCACCAGTTTGCTGCCTACAAGCAAAAAGTTGAAGCTCGCCAGAAGAAGGCTTACCGCTACTTCCATGACGGTCTCATAAACAACACCATGTTCCGCGCCAAGGACAAGGCACCATATGAGGACGAGAAGATGCAGGAGATTTTCCTTAACCCACAAGTTCGTGTCACGGTCGACAAGAAGACATCGACATACAGCTACCCGAAGAACCCTACGCCGGCTCCCAAGAAGGACAAGAAGTCTCAAGAAACCATGAAGATGCTTGAGCAACTTACACAGGCTACCGCGTCCGCCAGCTCTAAGGTCGGTATCGATGTTGAGAGCCTTAGTGCTCTGAACATTGAGAATGACACCTTCATTGAGCGCAATTTCACCGAGAAGGAGATTGCATACTGCCGAAAGGCCCCGAACCCCCAAGCAAGCTTCACTGGCAAATGGTCTGCGAAGGAGGCCGTTTTCAAGTCTCTTGGTGTCAAGGGTGAAGGTGCTGGCGCTCCTTTGAAAGACATTGAGATTGTCAACGATGAGTCAGGAGCGCCGTCAGTTCAGGTATGTGACACAAGCTCAGCGATTTTTTCAAAGTATTTTCTAATGTGACTCCAGTTGTACGGCAAAGCCGACGAAGAAGCCAAGCGTGTCGGCGTCAAGAACATCAATATCAGCATTAGCCACTCTGACGACCAAGCCGTCTCAGTTGCCATTGCTCAGTTCTAAGCATACTATGGCTACTGGGAGGATGATTGACAACAAGGTAAAAAGCGGGCACTAATATGGAAAGACTATGCTGGTACACGCGTCATTCCCCAAGCTCGTTCTATCGAGTGCAGAGATGCCTTCCGAGCGTCTGGTTTGTCGCCGGCTTGGCAGGCTTGTTCGATGAATGTGTCATGATAAGGTTACGTTATGTATTGTAATGCAATAAAATATTGTTCAAACATAAATGGTATCAACTTGAGGTCAATGCAACATGGATACATGCCGGGACACGAGCCGATGCGTTCCACATTACCTATGGCTCTCGATGACGTGATGTGCAGCAACATAACCGACTATCTCTCGACCCAGGGATACGGAACACGTCCGATAAGCCCAACAATGGAGATTGAATACGCGAGCCTAGGCAACATGTACCCCGCTCATTTCCCCGATTGGAGGAGTCTCGGACATGTGGTTGAGGCTGACCTGCAGCGGGTGGCTGCATGAGCGTAAGCTGTTGAACACGTTGGGACACGCAGGATCTCGGACAATGTCGGGTACGTGTGGGTCACTATTGGCTTGCATAAGTCATGGTCAGTACCGCGAAGAGTATAGCGTGTATGCGGAAGTTTACAATGAATATACAGATCGGTTGGTCTGAGTGTAGAGATCAGAAGTACCGCGTGCTTGGTTTGTTGAGAGAAGTTACTTTTCAAGTGAAAGGGGATGCATTTGGCTGACTTGTAGTCTGACAAGGATACGGGTGCGAAGAGGACTCAGGAACGGAGCTTCGTATTCTCTTTGTACCCTCAATGTATCTATGAAGTACCAAAAAACCGGGTTGCCCAGACAGCAGTCTACTAGCACAGCTTCGTGACTTTATGTTTCCCTTTACAAAGCTCGGGAGATGGAGTAAGAAAGTAGCGTCTGAATGAGCATTCTTTTCTAGTGTAAAAGCTTCTACTGTCTAGAACTACTACTTATCACGGATAGTTCCTCTTGACCCACATCAAATCCTTCTCACTAGGCCTCCTCACCTGTTCCACCAACCTCGTCCCTTTGCTATGATCCTTCGGATCCACATACGCCATCACAGGACAATACTCACCCTTAGTGATGCACCGCTGGTTCGAATACTCGGATACACTGGCATAATGCATGATGCTGGCGATATCGAAGCCGGCGTTTGACTTGATAGGCCATCCTGGTTCAACGTAGTTTTTGACAAAGGCGGCGCACGTACAACCGTATTTGATGGTTAGACGGATGGAGCAGCGGAGGTTTTCGGGCGTGATGAGCGGGTCTTCGTGGGTGTGGACGCTCTGCCAGCATGCATCCCAGTCTGCAAGGGCTTTGGGGGTGACTTTGATGTAGGTGTCGCAGTCGGAGTGGTTGTGCTCGTGGGCCATGCCTAGTCGGTTAGTAGCTATTCTATTTTTGCTGTCACTTTCCTAATGTCTGATAGAGTTTGCAGTTGATGTAGTAATAGGGGAGTCGGCTCACCTAGAACATGGTCGAGCTCGTGCATGACTCCAAGCAGTGTATATCCACTGGCAATATATACGAGTTGCTGCCAGGGCTTCCCGTTGCGTGTCAGACCGACACTTCCGCCCCAGCCTTTGTTCTCGGTGTATTCGATCGCAACAGTGTCCTTGGGGACCCTATCGTTCCAGACATCACAGTTCGTGGGAGAAGCACAGTACAGTGGTTTTTCTTGGGTGTTCTTGCGCTCTTGGAAGCTGATGGCGTGGCCGGCGGTGCGACTCGCTGGGCCGCTGAGATGTCTACGAGTTTGTTAAGTTCCTATATGAAGCAAAAGAGATGAAAAAAAGCGTATGTTTAGTGGTTACTTACTCAATACACTTGGCCATACCGTTATCCACTACGTTTCGGATGTTCCTGCAGTCATGCTCTTGTGCGAAGCAGTACGGGATAACAACCTAATGCTCGCCAGTGCGCGACCAGCGAATGGGATCGCCTTCAGTTCCTCAAGCATCAGTCGAGCCTTGGCTTTTCAAAGCTTCATGTTTCTCCAGCTCGGCTATGTAGTCGGGCGAGTTGGTGGCCTTTGTACCGTTGTCGTAGACGGGCACTGGAGTACCGCAGAAGGGACCGAATTTGGGTACAGTCTCCTGAACAAGATCTGTAACTAAGAGTGCAATCATGTTTTCTGACTTCTTGGTTGAGAATGCTGAGTACTGTTGGGTGGAAGTGGCTACGATGGTAAAAGTGCTTTATATAGTTGAAGGACATGATATCTGTTGTGCAAAAGCATCAGTATGTGGGAGTGAAAGGTGCTTAGCGAGATATGGGTGCTTAAAGCGGGAACCGTAATGGCTCGACAATGAGTGAAGGGTATGTGCAGGCAGCAGTGAATTGCATATTGGGACTTGCGACAATGCATTAATCTAGACTCGTTGTTTCATAATGTGACGTCATCTTTATAATCACTGGGGTGTATCTTACATATACCGAATACATCTAGCGACCATTGACTCCCGTGGGCTATCCTATTTGTAGTTGGCTTTGCCTATCAAACCTCTTCACTGTACAAAATCACCGCCGAAAGACCTGGTCTTGCCCGTCCGCATGCCCCCTGGTAGTTTTCAAAGGGGATTTGAGATATAATCAACATCAATTCACGTTGTTTCACACAATACGTTGAGATTGTTCACATAACTAATCGCTTCTAGAGGAAAACATCCATTTCACTAACACACAGGAGTCTTATAACAATTAGGAAATTCAGTCTTACGTTGATAACTTTACATTTTGTAGAATTTATAGCTTTCCACGTTGACCTACAGCACGACACACAAACAGATATACAATGTCTGCATCAGCATGCTCTGTCTTGAACTGAAGGCTCATCGACTGCGCTCTTATATGGACAGTGGCGAGGATATCACGTGTTCTCGGTATCGACGACGCCGAAATCACGGAATCAGTTGAACCCCTATTACCACACTTCACTGGCCCATTGCTCCTAGCTGGAGGTTTCAAGCCCCAAAAAGCAAAGCAGTATGTAGAGCAGCATAAGGACAGGGATATCGTTATGGCGTTTGGACACTACTTTATCTCGACACCTGATCTGGTGTTCAAATTGCAGAAAGGAGTTGAATTCAACCCTTACAACCGTGATACCTTTTACCTTCACAATGGGGTGAAAGGGGCTATACTGATTATCCGTTTAGTGATGAGTGGAAGGCGGAGTAAGCGAATTGACAGAGAGGACATCTGGATATACCCATTTATACGCATGTATACTAGTGAAGGCAAATTATGAAAATCTTGTTGTTGCATGTTGCAGCCATGATGAAGTATTTTATAGTCGTGTAAGCTGTGTAATTGTGATTAGCGGCTATTTATTCATGTATTATTCACTAAATCAATGCATAGAGTTCTAGTAGACTGTGGAGTGATTTGATGCTGCGTATTTCCAAGGTGAATGTGTTCAGTGTGCGCACATGGGATGAGTAAGATGTCTCACTTGTAAAACAAGAAGTAGAATTATTCCTAAGTGTAATTCTTAGAGAGTTATAGTGTTTGAATATCACCTAATGTAGATACCTCTGTATACATTGTTATGGTAGCATTTCATATTTCGATAGCAGATTGTGGCTGAGCGTTCCCATCCTTGACTAGTTAGACTTCCCCTAGTTTTCCATGGGTGAATCCAACCATGTTATTCTACAGTAACGGAGATAAGTTAACCCCGCTCTATAGAACAACGTAATGTCTCGTACGATCCTTGACTCTGTGTCTTGGATGAAATGATCGATACCTCTTCACAAAGCTTGGAATTTTAGCTGTCGCTCACTGTGAAACTATCTACAATCATTGTGTGAGACAATATCCGATACAAAAGTGTCTACTGTTCCCTACAAAACTATTATTATACAACAACATCTACGATCGAAAACAAATAGCTGAAAATGTCTCAACACCTCACTGTATCTAAAGAGTCCGCCAAATCTACAAAGCTCGCCGTGCCCGAAAAGTCCGCCATGCGTAGAACTTCACCTGTGCTCGAAAAGCCTGCCACGTCTAATCAGCTAATTTTGCGTAGAAATTCCACCACACCTAAACAGCCGACTAAGCCCACAAAACCCGCCATGCGTATAAATTCACTTGTGCCCGAAAATCCTACCATGTCTAACCAGCCAACCGTACGTAAAGGCTACGCTACATGTAAACAGCTGGCTGTGCCTAAAAAGCCCGCCACACCTACGGCTTCACCTTCACCAGTATCTAGAAGGTCCGAAATGCCTAGAAAGCCCCCCGTGCCTAGGCAAGTTCGGAAGAGGCGGGTAACATTTGCTCCAGACACCGTTTTCGAACCAGGACGTCAGTGTAACGAGTTCTGGAGGTTTGGGCCGTTATACAAAGCGGGGAAGCATGCACATATTAGGAGCGGGGGATGGCTCGATACCAGTTTCAAGTCAGACACTTTCGAGGTGATGCTAAATCTCAAGATCTACGCAACATATACTGTTGATAGCATGGCTGAATTCAACGACATTCACGATGAGTTTGTAGCGTATATGGACGAAGGCAAGCCGTTATCTCCAGGAAAACGCAGCACACTTCGAGACCACGAACTCTGCTACGAGGTAATGGATGAGTATGCAGAGTATCTTAGACGCTGTAATGCTAGTGGTTCGGTCTTGGCCAAAGATGAGCTAGCAGAAGCAAAAGTCTTGGTTGTCTACCAGGGCCAAAACCGCGGACTCCTTGGCTTCCAGTTTCTTAAAGACACGTGGGACGATGCGGAGGCTGCGGAGTACCTGGAGCAGTTGAAAAATAAGATCCCTCCAGATAATCAAGGTCAATCCCCGAAAGATATTCTTGCCGAGATGTGGAAACAGTAGTTTCAGTATGCAGTTATGGACCCACATGTCAAAGCAATGCTTTAGAGTCTTCGCGTATGAAAATAGTACAGTCAAAACAGTTTTAGTCTTTTTTTAGTCTATATCATGTTGCAATATACATTATCCCCGTATCGCCTATCTTTCCATTTTATTTTATCATGCCGTTGGCCGTGTTGTTGAACCTTGGATGCCACGGGTTTTGCTTTGTGATGTGAGTGGTCGTGAGCGGGCGTGCAGTCCCGAAGTAGTAACAGTGGCCTAACCCTGCTTATTCGGAGTCTTGTGGGACTTTAAATCGCCGTAAAAGCAGCACGACTTCTAGTCTACCCCACGCGATGATCGAAAACTGGATAAAAAAAACTGGATCAAAGCCGCTAGTTTTGCGAGCGTCCTCTTCAAGAAAAGAAGTGATTGCGACGTACTAAAATCCCGTTGCTGTTATCAAGGAAAAGGAGCAGTAGCGTACCTGCCGAGTTTGGGCATGATTGGCATATATTTATCAGCATCAAGTAAGTCTGCCAAGATTGCCTGATATAAAAGGTGATCATGGGTTTCTGACATGTCGCGATTGGCCTGCCAAGCGTATATAGAGTGCATTCGTCAAGGATGCCAGGCGCAGATATCTAGGGAAATTTTATCTACCCCCATCTTCTGGTTAGGTTATGACGCACGATTTATTAAGCGCCGTCGGTGTTTTTCGACAAAGTCATCCAGCGAACCTATGAATCCCGAAGAAAATAAATGCCAAGAACAGTAAAGTGGATTTGAGCCATGCACGGTGCAAAAAGATCGCCGTGGGTAATGCATAATAGATAAACAGGGCTGGCTTGAGAAGTTATGTTAGTATTAGCATCACTAAACCACTGTTTCAGGAATTGCTGCTGAAACTTGGCAGATCGAGGTTGATAATTGTATCGTCCCACACCCGCAGAACGCTCCGCATTTCTGAGGAACGTGATCAGCAGTCAAAGCCGAAGCTTTGCTGAATTAGACTGGGACGGACCGATGCAGGGCCGACCTTTTACGGGTGGTGGAGGATCCGTGCAGGGGTAGTGCTGGAGTAGTGCATCATGTGAGCATCGTCGTCATAGTTCACGCAACAACTAAGTCTATCACGTATCCGTGATAATGTGCCGAGAGTTGGTATAGTCGTTGATGTATTTACATTACATGTTATCGTTGTTATTGTTCGTTATTTACAGAATCTTGCTGAATCAATCAGTCAAGATGAGGACTGAGCATTTGGTAATGCGACAGGTGTACAAAAGAGATAATCATCAAGATACTGATCACGGTCTCCTTCTGAACCGCGCCATCAAGTCCCCTTTGACCATTTTTCTCAGATGCTCATTGAACCCATACGTGAGGGCGTTTGCAAGTCCGATGAATTGCGTTGAACATTGAAGGATGGTCAACGTCTTACTTTTGTGCCCTGATGCTTCCACGAGACGATTGATCAAACCAGGCGCCCAGAGGATGACGTATAAGATAGGATATGCGTTGAGAAGAAGCATTCTCTGGATTTCCTTTTCGACGTTCCGGCCGCTGACCCCATTATAGAGAGTTCCAGTCAAGTTGGTTGGAGGGCCCTGTGCTCCAGCTATTGCTGTTGCTGTCCTGGCAGCTTCAACGTCGCGTTCGGAATCTACAGCGGGGTGTGCGTCTGTGACAACAAACACAGTCAGTTTAAGATAATAATGGATAGAAATCTAGGAACTAGGGGGTGGCAAAACAGAAACAAAATTTTGGAAAAGGGAAGAGCTGACATACATGGTGAACTGTTGGGAGAGGGCGCTTTTGACATTGTATCACTTTGGATACTGTCATCCTTGCCCGCTTCGACGGATGATGCGGCAAGTTGTGCTTTTCCAACGCTGCCACTTTGGGCGTGTTTCACTTCATAACGGTACTCGACATTGATCTTATGTAGCTCCACTTCGGATTCGCTCTTCAACTGGAAAGCATCATCTCGACGGAATTCGCGCCGCCTAACAGAACTTCCTGGGTCGTACGATTTTCCCATGCTGTGCGCACGCAGGGTTGAAAAGTGCCTCTTCATGTAAATCCATATGTAGACATATATGCCAATGGTGATGAAGATGATGGTGAATCGCCATGCATGAGTCAGGCCGTAGCGCAGGTCAGTTCGTTTGGCACTTATCCAGCACCAATTGCCACTAACGGGGACGATTTCGTTGAGTCCTAGGGCAGTACATGCTGTTTGTTGAAGTCAGCCTTGACTTAGGTACTCAGGCGCAATATGAATTACATGATATGGTGGGCATGATCCAGCAAGACGAGCAGATGAGGATCTTCTTCAGGGTAGAGACATTGGGCATGTAAGTCTTTCGAGTAATGGTAAGGAGTGTGACGATGGCGATGGCCAGGATGGAAAAGTCGGCCGCCTGTAAATTTGTCAGTGAAGGATCCAAGAGAGTGGATATCGGGTTTGAGATGGCTCACCTGAACGGACCACTGGCCCACCCAACCATTTAAATTACAAGCGACGCCATCGACCAAGTCACGTTGATTTGCGACGACCCAGGCTCCTGATACTGAATTGTTCACTGAGTTGATGAATTCTGTTGTGGTGGTTAGTCTGACCTGTAGAGGCGGCAATTAGGGGGTGAGGCGTCGTACCAGCGAGAGCGAGATTCAAAACAAGTACGTGACGGAAAGAGCGTTGTTGGTCGGCGTAGATGACATAGCAGACGAGAACGCACGAGGTGGCAACGGCGGAACAAAGGCTCCCCACAAGCGTAGGAACCGCAACACTCCAGGTGATGGGCATGGTGAGACAGTTGCGCAGTTGTGAATAAGGCTTGAGGTACTTCAACAACAACTGGCTAAAGACTGCAGATGGGCATGCGTAGGAGGCATGGCGATATATGTAACATGGAGGGTAGCGAACGCATTTAGCGGCACAAACCGTATGATTGGGAGGGCAGTCAAGTCTTGGGGGGACTCATGCAGCCGCACACGCAGGTTTTACCACCCATTTCTCACTACATGCGGTAGTCTGATGTTTAGGGCGGCGGTCGTGCAGAGTTTCGACTATCTTGCTATTGAGCCGAATGTCTGTATCACCCGCATGCCTGGGCCAGGGACCCCTACAGACCGTTGACAGGCAGCCTAGGAGCGTGCTCCGCAGACGTCTCGAAGAAGTGATTCCTAGCGTCCCTGAATGTGGCTGCGCGTGAACTGGTGGCACGAAGCAATTCAATTCTATTTTGTTTTGAGAGGGTGGAAAGGGGGTGAACTGGATCGATCCAACATGATTAGTTGTCACTGACGATTAAAGGTGCCACTGGAGTTGGTCCGAGTAGCACCTTTAGCTCTCCTGGCTCTGCCTCGGGCCTTGCCTTAATCTATTGCCCTGCCGCCGCTGGGCATTGGCTGCCCTTGCAACGCCTCTGCTTGGAACCCGACTCAAGCACAGCGCACGTGCGCTCATCGGCTTTGCCATCTAGGTACAGCGCCGTCACAGATGTTGATCTCCCGAAACGCAATGTGCCTCTTATCCCGGCGCCTCGCAGACTGCACACGTATCTATTCTGTTCGTCGACCAAGGCTCTGGCCTTGGGCTGCGCAGTCTTCATTGGTAAGAAAACTGCCGGTTCTGCATCGCATGATGACATGTATGCTCAGCAGTACCTTGCCGTGCTGAACTGTACGCGGGACGAGTGACAGTTGGCTGACAGCACCACAAAACCAGACTTGAGCAATGCGCCGAGAGACTGACTGCCTTGTCCCTGCTTAAGTGACTGTTGAGACCTTTGACCTTTGGGCCTCACGCGCACCATGAGCACAGAAACACAGATCCATCATCCGGCACCTGTGTTTTCGCATCCAGCTTCTGGAACTGGGCGCATGGGCGCACGAGCGCGTGCCTCGCCATCGCTGACTATTCACGTTTTCTCCCTGGCGACTTATTCATAGTAGCATACACATGCCTATGCGACTCCATGCAAATAATGAAGAATTCACTGGTATTGGGTAGCCTTACTGAGAGCATCTTCACCTCGACCAATCGATCAGCCTGTCTTCTCTCCCTTCTACGTCACAAGGCTATCCCAGCGTCGGGAATAAGCCTTAACTAATTGCGCCTTCGCTTCGCACTGCCGTCTCACCCTTGTTCTAGCCCTGCCCCCCATAAGCTCCACCCGAAACACCCTTCTCTCACCCAGCTTACTCGCTCCTCCCTCCATCATCGTATACATAAAGTAGTATATTCTATGTATACATACACTCTAGCCTCCGTTATCTCGTCGTTGCTAAACTGATGCATTAAACTAAACCAGGCCCTTACCATCGCCCTGATATAGCCAGGTCAACGATGCTTCTTACAATTCTAAAAACTATATTCAAACGTAGATCCTTTTGGTCCGTTAGGTTCGCTCGCAGCCTATCATACTGCAACTCTCAACCTAAGCATTCCAATTGTCTGTGGCTGAAGTGGCATCAGAGCCAAGAGTCTGCCACCACTCCGTGGAGCCTACGATGGAAGTGCTAGCTATAAGAAGAAGGCAACGCCGCGCCGGTCAACAAGACTTCCACTGGTCTACATTACTCACATACGTACTACGAATACGAAGGAGCTCGTTTTGTGAGGAATCGGCTGGCCCGTGCGCCCACTCAAGATTGAGTCCACCCATCCAAAAACGGCACAATACCGATATAAAGAGTAGAGAAATTCGGCTAAAAAAGAGGCAGCTATTGATAATAATCAAAGTAAGCTTTCTCGTAGCCCACGTCGATATGTCTGCGATAAGAAAGCAGTGTTTTAGTTGTGGAGAATGAGCGCACGGGCTAGGTGATACCTCTCTAAAATCGAGATCCTTCGTATACAAATGTAAGGCCTCCATGGCGATAAGCGAGCGTACCTGCAGACCTCCTCCCGCCTCCTTCGCTCACACTCAGGTCTGGGTATATGGAGTCCCGTATTTCGCCATCTATCCTCGTGCCGTTCTTGTCCAGTTCGCCCCAGTTTTCGGCTAGCTGCGGGTGCCAGCGTCCCATCCAAACTTCAACAGGATACTGTTCTAGGCCCTGTTAGCGGTGGTGCGAACGTCGTCAAGCAACCATCAGGAAATGCAAAGCTTAAGGGGGAGGCGGGATCACTGCGCCATAGCAGTTGTGTGTGTCGATAGCAAACAGTTATTGGAATTCCCCTACCTTGACATCATCAATCAATGCTAGAGTTGCATTCTCTTGGCAGCCAAAACACCAATATGTCCTTCGCTAGAGAAACTTGCATACTCGAGCTACCTCAAAGACCTTGGGAACGGCGGAAAATATATATACACATATACGTGTGACTGTCTGATCATTGTTGCTGTAGTTAGTATTGTAGAGAGGATACCTGTGGACACATCGGTTGGTAGTCTTAGGCTGTTAGTGCAAGCTACCGTGGCTAAACCCTAAGATTTGTGGCTGGACACCATTTCTGCTTTTTTCCGTTCATGATGTCATCATTTCTTATAGTTCTTCTAGGCTATTTCTCGTCTACTGTATGATCCCCGTTTGCCGTTTGGTCAAATCGATCCCCATGCAATTCGAATTAGGTCAAGGCGACATCGGAGATCGACCTAGATCGGCACTTGAGTTGGCTTCTTGTTCTTTTTGTATATGTGGATAGATCTTGAGCTAGAAACCTGGATCGAGCCCCTGGCTTTATCGAAAAACCACACCTCCATGTGCGGCTAAAGAAAGGTCGCATCATGGGTACACAGGTGGCCATAATGACGATGTTTTGTTCTACTCTATACAGAAATCAACCTAGTATGAAGAATAAAAGAAGAAAGAAAGTGACTTACAAGCCCCATATCACCAGCGGCACAGGCTTCCAAACTGGGCACCATCAGTTATGGTCTCACACTGTCTGTTGATATACTTACGGGATCAGTTGTGTCTGTAAACAACGACAAATACGTCTCCTTAACGATGGTGATTATCGCAGACAGCATGGTCATACTCATCATCACGATGAGGCCAACCTTCGTGGACTAACCCATCTGCAGATCCCAGAATTTGCATGCCGGCGCCACTGCCAATACCACGTCCGTGAACGTCGTGTACGCGCAGAACCAGTACAAAAAGCTGTTGAGAATATTTGTATTCCAGCACGAGCCTGGCAATGACTTCTCTCATAGTTTCTGGGTCGGTTGGTATTGTGTAAATGCTAGGACAACTATAATTATGGTAAACAATACTTGCAGAATCGCCATAGAGTATAGAGAAATAGTTTGTCATGGACTTGAGAGAAGCTAGTAAACGAGAATCGTGATGGACATGTTCGATAAGCTGAATGCGGCTATAGATTGTCACTTCTTAGCCAAAGCTACAAGTACGAAGTCACAGAACACTTACCAATATTAAAAGCTACAATGTGTCAACTTGAGCCATGCTAGTCTCTCGTGTTTATCCATAAAGAATGTACGATATCCTAGCATCTGAATCATTGCGCCTTTGGAAAGCCGCTCATTGCCGAATTGTGCGACAACTACTGCTGTATGCTGACCGAATCCTAATACAACCCCGTAGGGAACAAATGATGAGGCAATGATGCTGAAGATCTAAACATAATATGAGTTCTAATCGTCAGTTCGATGGGAATAGAATTCGAGAATGCCGTACCAACGACAGCAAAATGAAGTGGTCGTCCCAGCCAATATCATGAACTAGCTTTACTGGAAAAAAGATTGATAGCGACCGATAAATAACAGCCCCAGTCATAACCCATGCGACGAGTAAGATCTCTGTCTGCCTGGTCTCTGTCAGACCCATTGAATCTGTCATTTCTGCAAAGATCTCGGAGTGTTTTGTAGGCTTGCAAGTGTCCAAAAGTGAAAAGGCAACGAGTTTTTTTCAAGGTTCCTTAGCTTGACCACCATTAGATATCATTATGCCAGGGAACAACCGCTTGCAGCCCGATGCTACTTATCGAGTGACATGAAGTGACGGTGCCAAGGTGGCGTGAGTACCACAAAAGTTAATGTGGTGTGGAAATCCTTCATTGTGAGTTACATCTTTTTTCAGAAAGCTCCATGCGGCATAGTCAGCATCATCGAAATCGAGTTAAATGTCAAACGATAGCGCAATCAACAAACTCCGGTCACGTGCAGTATTATTCCTTGAAGAAAGGATTACTTCGAATAAATAAATGAGATTGTGCTGGGTCCACTGGTCGCATTGCCGAGATAACGAGGGGAATCCTTTCGAGGTCCACATCATTGTGGCACAGCACAGCATGTTGGCAAATTTACTTATCCCAGACCTCGCTAACTTTCGCCGACCAACCTCGTAGGACTACATTTGAACCACTCATATTGATAGAAGCTGAATGTCAAAAAATTACTAGTCACTTCAAACATGCACGGGTATGCACACAAAGGAATTCAGGAGATCAAACTGCGTTACGAGATCCCGGTTTGGGAAGGCCAGTATGACCCGAGCGGCTATGTATGGGCGAAACTCCACTGCCAAGATATATAAGTGATTCAACAACGACAACAGTGGTGATGCATACTCACAAAGATAGTAAATTCTACCCTTTATTTGTTGCTAAAGCTTCGCGATGGGCACGTTTTGTAAATGCAAGCAGAGCGAAAACTTCACCATTACTGTGCCGTATGGGCTACCTCAGATATAGTATCTTTGAAACGTAAACTACAGATTGTCCCCAAAGCTTCAAATAAGTCATATAGTCGCTGTAAAACGTTTCTTATAAAGACTGCCGAGGTTGCTACAGCTCTATTAATTGATGCAGAGACAGTTTATCGAAGCAAGTTCCTTAGCATCAACATGCATTTCTTAGGTTTTATACCTGTTCACGATATGGTTACGAGCCAAAAAAAAATCTCCCAGTCAGACCAAGCATGCAAAGCTATGTCAATACGCACCTACGCATGCACTTCTGTGAGCTGTATGTGATGGTCGAACACTAATCGCAAATCCTTAAAGGATTGATCCTGTCAGCCACAATACACAATTGAGCTACAGGCATGTACACGAGATCATAGAGTTGTGGGTCTCAGGATTTTAAAGCCCTCCACTTATGGGCACACAATATGTAGTTGAGATCAGCTTCAAGTCTAAAAACCACTCCTTCTTAGAATCAAAAGTCTGCATCAAACATAGAAGACATATCGAAAACACTTCCAGTCATTCTCGAACGCATTGTAGCGGCTGGCAAGGATTACCAACGCGAGGACATTGGTTTGCGAGAAGATCTCATCGAGTTAGGCAGAGATCTGTTAGCAGCACTTGAAATCCCAAGTGAGTTTTTGCGGAGAAGCTTCTGGTCTGAGGTAAACTAGCAATGCTATTCGAAATTCTACTGGCTTTGCTGATCAGTACTGTAGCCCGCTCTGTCAGCACACTGCAAGTTGGCTGTTCAGCTTGGACTATTCCAATACCTGAAAGATGCAGGCGAGACCGGCAGTAGCATCGACAATCTTACCCAAAAGACAGGAGTCGATACATCGCTGCTCCAAAGAATCCCACACCACCTAGTTTCCATGAAGCTTCTCACATTCTCGAATGAAAAGTTCCTCGGAACACCCCTCAGTGACGGACTCGCAGCGGAGAACTTCCAGAAAAGCATCGATTTTTGCTACGATGTCGCCAGGCCGAGCTTCAACTGCTTTCCTACCTTCTTCAAAGAGATGGGCTACAGAATACCAAACCCCGGCACAAACGGTCCATTCCAGGCTGCACACGGTACAGAGCTGCCGTTTTTCCCGTGGTTGGGAGCCACGCCCCCGCATCTCGATGAGTTCGACAACTTCATGTCAGCGTACCGGGCCGGGAAACCGAATTGGTACAGCGTAGGCTTCTATCCAGTAGCGGCCTATCTCATTGAGGGCTTCGATAAGGACGCCAGTGAAACGCTGCTTGTAGATATTGGGGGTGGGCGTGGCCGCGATGTTCAGCAGTTCATAGCAGAACACAAGGCACATCCCGGGAAGATTGTTCTCCAAGATCGAGAGCCTATTATTGCTAGTGTTTCAAATCAAGACAAGCTACCCTTTGAGTTGCAGGTATACGACTTCCTTACTCCTCAGCCAATCAAGGCTGCAAGGGCGTACTCGCTTCATTCTGTCCTTCATGACTAGACCGACGAAGAGGGAATCAAGATCCTTGAGAATCTGAGGCCTGCGCTCAAGTCTGGGTATTCCCAGGTTTTACTGGTTGAGATTGTGGTTTCGGAGGAGGAGCCCACTATCGCGGAAACGGCGGCGGATATGATGATGTTGGCACATCTTGCTGTGCGGGAGAGAACTAGGGTAGAATGGGAGGGGGTATTGGAGAAGGCTGGATATAGATTGGTGGGATTCTACAACTTCCCGGGTGTTGCGGAGAGCGTTATTGAAGCGGAGCTGCGAGAAGCTCCTTGAGTTGGCAGGGTACTTGTTTGATTAAGTTTGGACTGTTGATATTGATTACGATTTTTTTCATGACGAGATAATTCTCAAGAAAGAATCCAGTTTTCGAATATCCAATTGCAAGAAAAAGAGGAAGATGCCAGGCGCAGCTGAGTGATATGAGCACTTGAATGACTCTTATCTAGCATTTTCTAGATATTTATTGCTACTATGAGAGAAGGATAGTCGTATGTGCTAGGGTCTAATAGTCGGGATAGCGCTGTACTATCATTAGGCTGGAAAATGGGTCGAGGTAGGATAGGCTTGTCCACCGAGGTAAGATAGAGAGATACAATGTCAAGGCCCGACGCTGATCTCAACCACACATCCACGATTTCACCGAATTTACGGACGCAGCATGTAGAGGGCCCGCTAGCAGGGGTGTCGCGAGGTATGTGATCTTGTAGGAAAGGGCCGATGAAAGCATTGACTTTGTTTCATTGAATGCCATAATGCCGATTCGATTTCCTCATTATACAGCGTTTCCTCGTTTTAGTTACTACTATACTCATAAGAAATAATAAAGTCATCTTCGGCTAAAGCATATATCAGTTCGCATAAAGTGTCAGCACTACGAAGTTGACTCATATACACTAGATGAATGAGTAATTAATTCCAACTCTTAATTTTACATTGAGATATTACAGTAATCTACATGATAGACTTTCAGCCTTTTCAAGATTCAAAAGTCCTTCGGTATGTGCAGTCCCTTGCTTTTCCAAGCGTCAATTTGCTTATTCTTTGTGTAAAGAAATCAAAAAAAGACATAGATTCCAAATCAATTGAAAAAAATATATTCAAACGCTACGTGTTGGAAGTATTGTGCGCCTCGTTGTTACCCGGCGTTGGTGTATTGCCTGTCGGTGGCACTATAGCTGAATTCCTCTGCGCAGGGCTTGCATCCCCTCGTTCTCTTCGGGCTCGAGCTCCAAAAGCGTCACTTAGTCGTGCGCTGATTCTCCTACTTCTTCTGTCTCTTGTGTTGGCTACGTTCTCCACACTTGGACTTGTACTCTCTCCAGGGAGATCGCCACTTTGGTTTCTTCGCTGCTCTCTAAGCCGCCTTAGGGCGCCAATTCGCTCTTCAGCTGATGAATTTGGTAAATGGCGGAACAACAAAATATCACGGATTGCGGTGCGTCGGCGATGCGATGTTTCAGCATCGGGGTTTAGAGGTGGAGCAAGTTGGTCCTGACCATGGGAGGCAGAAGAACCATGGGAATCAACGGGTCGGAGATCGACGCGACTGCGGAGTGTTAGTGGGCTTGATACAGCGAATAGTAAGATAAGGGACTGAATTACCATAATGGACAAGTACCAGATACGTTCAATAGCCATGGATCTACACATTCTGGGTGGAACTTGTGATTGCATGGGAGAACGCGAAGATCTTGACCCTTCTCAAAATCCTCTGTACAAATGGAGCAACCCAGACTTTCGTCAGATGAAGCGTTCTCTGTACCCGTAGATGCGGCCGCAACAATAGGTTGTGCAGGTGCTATACCTGACTGATGTTGCTCAATCTCCGCGGGGGTCGCTTCCTGTGGCGCCCCCGTCACCTGCTCCGTACCTAGTGGCTGCGCTTGGCTGCGCTGATCAGCGGTCGTTGGAGGGTTTGCGTGTCCGTCGCTTGTCGCGTTCGCTCCGTTCAAATCTCTCGCCCCAGCTGCCGGTCCTAGTTCCACATCAGTAGACTTTGTCTGCTCTCTTTCGCCAAATTTTACAATGGGAATAGTGTCGAGAATAGCTCTTCCGAGTCCCCTTGCTCTGCTTTGTCTGGGTCGCCCAAGGACGTTCCGGGGTCCGTATCGCTCAGGGTGACGATGCGCTCTTACCGCGCCCGTGATGATGATGACGAGGAATAGAGCTGTGATGATACCCGTAATGCTGTACAGAATGATCATAGCGACAGCAGTCGAGGGTGAAGGGCCTAATGGGCTCTGTGTCTGGTTTGGGTTGCCGCCTCCATTGCCGTTGTCGTCATTGGACCGGCCTTGAACATGGACGAAGTATTTCATGTGTGCGGGCAGGTCGTCAATAGCGTCGAGTACAAAAGCGGAATCAGTTTTGCTCGTCATGGAATAGACAGCAAATTGCTGCACCGTTTGTTGAGAGTCATCCTGGTCATAATCACAATAGTCGGTGGCGGTGCTGTAGAGGATGGCAGCCGAAATGTTGGCTTGTCGATAAGCCTGCTCGAAGACGGATTGGGCATTGTCGAAACCGTTGTAGTCGCTGGGGTTGCAACTGATGTATGCGATCTCGTCAGCAGTGATGTTGGCGACATTGGAGAAATTTGTGTTGTATAGGTTGCCCTTGACCTGGTAGTCCATGTCAGTGCAAGTACTTGGATGAGATCTTGTACCTAGCCGCGACGAACCGAATTCACTGCTTCCTGGGTCAAGGGGATAACGTTGGCAATTTTGCGCCCGTTTGATTCGGCACGGGCGAGTGGTAGAGTGCCATCTCCCCAGCCCGGACGCGCAGTCGAGGTGTTGGAGGGTGAGATGGTGGCCGTGGCGGAGGTAGCGAACAAGAGGCAGGCCAACTGCCACGACAGCCGGTGCAGGCGCGCAGGCGACATGTTGGAGCGCATGCCTGTTGTGAATTAATAGCACACGAGCGCCGATGAACCCATGTGTGGATATGTATATAAATGTATGAGTATGGTGGCTTGAATTGACGCGCTCCCAAAAAAGAGTTGCCGCACTACAGAGCGACAAGCTAAACGATAAGACAGTGCTCGCGCCCAACAGCTGACATGGTTGGTGCGACAGGAGGCGGCGGCAAGCACAAGTGGTTTGATGTGTGTCAATGTAAGAGTGTAGGTGCGCAGATATGGCTGAAGCCAGACGAGACGACACAAGAACTGGCGGAGAGGCGCGGCAGACGATGACCATAACCCCCGCTCTCCTCTCCCCCAGACCCGCTGACGCTACGGACCCACTCCTGCTCGTCTGCGTCCGCCATACGCTCCGACTCTGAAACTCGGTCTAGTCGACGCTGTTTGGCTACGGCTGCAGCAACTTTTGTTCCGCGCTTCTCTCAACCACTCGTCTGGCATGTTCACGGGCCTATACGACGATTACAACCCTATCATGGCCTTCCAGTGGCTCCGATGCAGTCGTAAGCCCTATGGCTGAGTTGCTCTACCGCCCAGTGCTTCGGACCGACTCGACTGTACGTCACTGAGTTCACTTGGATCAATCGCTTTATTCCCGCATCGCCATGCACACATGCATTCCTGTCTCGGTAATGCATCTTGCCGTAAAGAATGCTCCGCTAGCCAACCGTCAACAGTTTCACCTGTGCCTACGTCCATATATATCCTCGTTTCATGCTCTAACCAGCTTGGATACTACCGTTGCATTACATATTTTGTATCTACCATTCAAACTCCATTCAAACTCCATCACCATAAACGCCTGCGCTCTGCTACCATGTATGCCCACTCATCCATCCCCGCGACACACTGTTGATACAGTTAAAAAACAAGTCCTTATTCACAACACCATGCTCGCCTAGTAGGCGATGCCACTCCTGCCACGCCCAGGCGTCTTGAACGTCATGGACTGCACCTGTTGCTCCACCAGTCCGCCAAGCGCTAGTGTGTCCTTCGGATCAACTCCCATCCTCTCGAAATCATTGAAGCCAGAAAGATAGAAGCCAGCAATCACCACCAGGTACGACAGAATCAAGATCGATCCCTTGAAGTAGTTGCTCTTTCCTTCACCGTACATGTACGACAAAAGGAACACGCATAGAATAACGGTAATCATGTCCCATTGGGGAAAGATGAGTGTGAATGACTGGTTTGCCACTTCGTCCGCTGGAATGTATCCGCTGTGCATGGCGCTGTAGAAAACCAGAGCCGGGATCTGCAACAAACAAACTTGCAGAGCATATGCAGATCCAATTTCCATGGAAAGCGCAATGTTGCCGTTCATCGCAAACGAAATAGCGTTCAAAAACTCGGTCGTGTTTGGCACCAACGCAAACAAGGTGATGCCCAGGAACTTTTCGTCAATATCAGATCCTTCCAGCACCCCGTCGACCGTGTTGACAAGAATCTCGGCGATAATTGCGTATGCAACAGTCGCTGTCAGCAAAATGGCAGCGCTCTTTTGACGACTCCAGTTTGGTGCATCGTGCCCTCCAGAAGTATGCCCAGGCGCCGTCTCGCCCTCTTCGTGAGCTACCTCGGTGTTGGCGCGAGTATGAGCAGGCCGATCTGCGTGCCCTTTGCTGTTTGTGTGAGCAAGTTGCGCAACTTTACGAGGGGTCTTGGTAACATCACGTGTGGCCAGAGCCGTTGTTGTTGCAGCAATCTCAGTGATCTGGCGTGCTAGCGATTCCGCAGCATCGTCCGTAAGGCCTTCGACGTGGAAAGAGTGGTGCACATTTGTTTGACCATCCTTGGGGGGTACCTGGTGGGGGGTGTTGCTGTCTGCTTTTGAGCTTGGTCGCCTGCCACTTGATGTGGATTGCTCTGGTCCAATGCCAACCTCTTGTAGAGTTTGACTAACCATGCGCTTGTACAACTGACTGTCACGCACATGCGCGCGATTGACGGAATGCCCGGTCGCTTGCCTCGTAAAAGAGGAATGGGGGAAGTCTCCATGGCCACTCTGACTGAGACTGCTCGCGCTCATCTCCAAAAACTTCTTCTCTTGAGCATCTGGCTCCGTCCAGATTGTGGCGGCATGAGTTCGGAGAGTAAACAATAGACCGATGATGTAGGAGAAAAACAGCAATGCAGCTGAAAACCAGGTATATGGCTTGACAGCTTCATTGTAGAACCGGTCGTGAAGTGCTGGTGTTTGCGAGTAGTAGCATCTGCGGCAGTCTCGCTCCAAGGGAGCAGAGGAATGAGGTTTAACACACTGGTGACAGTTGAGTTCATGCTGATATCAGTTAGCAGAGGCCTTTTCAAAAGTAAGAATGCAATCCTTACACTTCCGTAGATCTGGTAGAACAATGTGGGTCCAAAAGCGCCAATGACGGCAAACAAAAGCATAGTTGATGTCACACCAGCCGACCGCACGTTGAACCGCTGGGTCTTGCGTTTCAGTGCTCCGAAACACATGGACAAGCCTGGAAGAAACAGAATACCGGCGAAGATACTGCCAATAATGCTTCCCTCGACAAGTTGTGCCTTTCCCTGATTCAGCGCCACACAGTAGAGGAAAACCTCGACAACGGTCGAGAAGAAGGCGTTGATGGTTGCACCGACCCCCATAGATGATTGAGCTGAGATGGAGGCCACTGCTTGCCCAATGAAATATGCCAATGGAATAATGGACAATAATGCAAGCGTGAAGAGCAGAAACTGGTCCGTCAACCAGAACTTGAGCTCCATGGCTTCTGCCAAGACAAAGTAGTCAAAGATGGTAAAAGCGACCAAGCCGAGGAGATTGATGAGAAAAATGTTTGTGCCGTCAATCGTGTATTTCCAGTACTTGATGCCGACTGCTCGATAGGTGCAGAGCAGGATAGAAGATGACTCTCCGGGACGGCGCACGTTGCCATTGTCCGAGTGAAACGAGAGAGCCAGAGGGTGACGGCGCAAGTGATCCAATAAGAGCAGCGTGGTTTTACCCATGGGGATTGTAAAGACAAGAAACCAGCACAGAGTCGAGACAAAAAAGAGCGAAGGCATCAAGATGCCGTAGAAGAAGAGGAAAAAGATGACTCGACCAAGGGTCCATTTACCGCGACCAAAAAGCCTCCGTTTAGTGGTGGCTGTGTCAGTATGGTTCACATTACCACGGCCGTGTCTTCCAAGCAGACTCATGGTCTCACTGCCAGCAGAGTCGACACTGTTGCGTCTACGCCCGATGAGCGAGCTCTCACCACCGTTGGTGGGGCCAAAGAAAAGACGTCCTTCTTCAATGTCACCGCTCTGCCACTGCTCATATTCGCTAATGCTGCGACCCTCACCTTCGTCTTCGTCAATATAGGCCTCGTCCTGCATGAGCTTGACATATTTGCCAAAGGGATAAAATAGATATGAGGCAAGGTGGAAAAGGAGACGCGAGTACTCTTTGCAGCTTTCGTTGAAGCCGAGCAGAGCACACAGCAGACCTCCGGCACTCGCCACGATTGCCAGCCACCAGCCAAAGACTAGCGTCCAGAAAAGATTGAACAGGAGCAACCACCTACTGACGTAGAGGCCTGGCGATGAGTGGATGTCGGCCTCTGCATTGCGCTGGACAGACCGACCCTTTTTGTAGAGGGCGGGCTTCCAAATCCTGATACCAAAGGGATGTGTCACGTTGATTGCATCCTGACGATCGCGTAGGGTGAAGCTCTCCGCGTCGCTCAGTTCGTCGTCGTCGGCGCCTCCGCTTTCCTCTTCTGCTTGCACCGTCTCTTCACTCGAGGAGACGGGTGTTGTGTCTGCATCCGTACCGGTTGCTAGTCCCGTGCTGTCTTGCTCAGGCTCGTCGTCTTCTGTAGAGTCTATCGTGGTCAGGGTCACCGGCTGCGCAGCGGTTCTGCGTCGGACAGTTGAGGATTTGCGGCGCAATGTCTGTCGTTGTTTCTTTTGCTGGTCTTGCTGGGCCTGGTCGAGCTCGACTTCCTCCTCGGCGTCGTCGACACTGAATTCTTGCCCCTTCTGCGGCCATTTGGACGACGTTGTGCGGCGCGTCATTGGGGGCTTCTTGGGCTTAGCGGAGCCTTCTGAGACGGGTGGATTTTGCGGACGACGGTCTTTGCTGTCTTTGCCAGCGGAGATGGTGCCTGTGGCCGCGTTAGCATGTTGGCATTGGTGTTGTTGTTGCTCCTGGTCTTTATCTATGAGTCTTACCATAGCCCGAAGGCTGCATCATGGCAGCTTGGGATCGCCTGCGCGCGGATTCCTCAGCCATGGCAGTTTGGGTGGGCGCGTCGCTGGCCGTGGTGGTGCCTTGGGTGCTGCTCCGACGAGATGTCTCTAGGGAGGGTTTGGCGTCGCCGCTGTTGGGAGTGCGGTCCTCCATGGCGGTGCGATGGATGCTCACAGAGAGCCAGAGAAAAAGAGCTGGCAGGCTATCTGCAGCCCGGCCTTGTTTTGGGCAGAGTGGAAACTTAGAATGGCCCCGGCTCAGGCTCAGGCCTTGTGTTTATGCGCACGAGTCACTCTAGCCTGCCGCCGTGCAATGCCAGCGATCAAAGAAGGGACGAGAGGCATGTCCGTCTTTGCCGTGCCCGCATCTGCTGAGGTGTGGGCGGAAGCCGCAGGCAGATGACCAGCCATCATGTGCAAGCGGCCGCCTCACCCACTCAGCACCACACCACTACATCAGATAGTCATGGCATCTTCTGCGGGTCCTGTCTCACTGCCGATAAAGCCGGCTCACGCGCTGCAACCGGTTCACTATGCTGCACGCAAAACCGACCAGCTCTTGTGATGACGGCACATTAATGGGGCCCTATCTGTAGCATCTTCTGGCTATGCCTTTTGCTACCCAGCTCCCCACCCGTCTGCATCTGTGGCGGTGCCGCGGCAACGGCAGCAGTGGCCCCGGCCGCGGCGGGGCATCCCTATCAACATAGCGCCTCAACATGTGGCGCAGGCGCTCGCCCACGGCCAAACCATTAATCCGTGCATCGCAGCTTCGGAAGCTTCCAGTGGGACGGGCGTGTCAATGTCCGAGCCAGTCCAACAATCACCCACGGCTGTGTCATTGCTATTCCCATCACCACCGCCGTCCCCACCACATATCCATATTCACTCTCTACCGTCCACTTATCTTGTGGCTCTCCATCTCTCTCCAGAGACTTGTCCAGTACCGCCCCTCTCCCTGCCAACGGAACATCGCCGACGGCGCCCGCCACAGCCATGGCGCTCGACACCTTCTTCCACAACAAGATCGAGGCGATGAAGCTCGAGATCATACAAGGCCAGGCAAAGCTACGACGACTCGAGGCCCAACGCAACGACTACAACTCAAGAGTGCGGTTACTGCGCGAAGAGCTGGGCCTGCTTCAGCAACCGGGGTCCTATGTTGGCGAAGTGGTCAAGGTCATGGGCACCAAGAAGGTGCTGGTGAAGGTGCATCCCGAGGGCAAATACGGTATTTGCCCACAACACGCTACGTGAAGCTCCAATGCTAACCCATCCAGTCGTCGATGTTGCCGACAGTGTCGACATCACCAAGCTCACCGCTGGCAAACGCGTCACCTTACTCAGCGATTCGTACAAGCTCGAAAAACTACTTCCGTCTTCGGTCGACCCGCTTGTCTCGCTCATGATGGTTGAAAAGGTGCCTGACAGTACATACGACATGATTGGTGGTTTGGACCAGCAGATCAAGGAAATCAAGGAGGTCATCGAGCTTGGTCTGCAACATCCCGAACTCTTCGAATCACTCGGTATTGCCCAACCCAAGGGTGTTTTGTTATACGGACCCCCTGGAACTGGAAAGACGCTGCTTGCGCGTGCTGTTGCGCATCACGCCGACTGCAAGTTCATTCGAGTATCTGGTAGCGAGTTGGTCCAAAAGTACATCGGTGAGGGTAGTCGCATGGTCCGAGAACTGTTCGTCATGGCTCGAGAGCACGCTCCTAGCATCATCTTCATGGACGAAATCGACAGTATTGGATCAAGTCGTGTTGAGGGAAGCTCTGGCGGTGATTCAGAGGTGCAGCGGACTATGTTGGAGCTGTTGAACCAGTTGGATGGTTTTGAGCCGACTAAGAACATCAAGATCATCATGGCAACCAATCGACTTGACATCCTCGACCCCGCCCTGTTACGACCTGGTCGCATTGACCGGAAGATCGAATTTCCACCACCAACCGTCGAAGCGCGTGCTGATATTCTGCGAATTCACTCAAGGAGCATGAACTTGACACGTGGAATCAATCTCACAAAGATTGCGGAAAAGATGAATGGATGCTCTGGTGCTGAGTTGAAGGGTGTCTGTACTGAGGCTGGTATGTATGCCCTCAGGGAGAGGAGAGTGCACGTCACACAGGAGGACTTTGACCTGGCGACGGCCAAGGTGCTGAACAAGCATGACGACAAGGCTACTAGTCTGAGCAAGTTATGGAAGTAGGCGGTAATTCTGAGCTCCCTAATCATGCTGAGATGCGCAGATGCTTATGAGGATACATTCAGCAATCAGTATGGCATGGACATATTCTGTAAACAAATAATGACTTTTTGACCAAACCCCACTATCCTTGAATGGCTGTGAGAGTGATATTACGTCATCTAGGCTAAATCACCACATTAGTCACTCAACCGAACCCCGGCCTTCACACCATCACCCCATATGCAATGCAGAGCTTGCCGAAAGTTAGATTCACAGTATATGGCATATCGCTGTCCATCTCAATTTGCATAAGATCTACAGCAATGGCTCTGTGTTCTATGACGAGTATATGTAGGTAGCTAAAGGCATAGAATTAGTCTTCGTATACGACGTCAACCCAAGGTTCGTGTACCCCACATGCAAGGTCGCCTTATCCGACTGTGTGGCTGCATCGCGTAAACAAAGAGGCTGATTGCGTGATGAATATCACTGGCGTCTATCGCCTTATATGCAGTCTCACCAGAATAGTCCGGTTGCACAGGACGTTCGCAACTGCCAGCACCCACCCTACCCTGGCGCTATCCTCTTTCATTACAAACCTGATCAACTCTGTCAACCGTAAACACGAAATTAGAAATTGCTCAGCCAAAGATTTCCGTCCTTTCACCATTTGAAATAAGGTAATGGCGGAGGCAACAGCAACAGAAAGTGCACATGGGGCGGACGACCATAAAAACCCTACAATACAACACACAGCGAGAGATGAAGCAACACCCGTCAGTGTTCTTGAGGATGGATCGTTGGACCCTGTATACGAGGCCAAGGCAAAAGTGCTGAACAAAGCAGTCCAGGATATAGGTATGGGACGATACCAATGGCAGGTCAGTCTCCCATAGCGCGCGTCCAATTCCCATTTAGCCGTATCTCTATACTCACATCTCGTGAATTATATATGAGCTCGCCTGTCGCTCAAAATCGTTAATTCTGACTATAGCTCTTTGTTGTCATCGGATTCGGATGGGCAATGGACAACCTATGGCCTATTGTGACGTCGCTCATCTTCACCCCTGTTAGCAACGAGTTCAGACCTAATCGGCCACCTTTTCTAACCTTGTCCCAAAACATTGGTCTCTTGTTCGGCGCCGTATTCTGGGGTTTCGGCTGCGACATCTTTGGTAGACGATGGGCTTTCAACCTCACTATTGGTATCACTGCGGTTTTTGGTATGGTGGCGGCTGGCAGTCCCAATTTTGCTGCCATTAGCACGTTTGCTGCGCTCTGGTCTGTTGGCGTTGGTGGAAATCTCCCCGTCGACTCTGCCATCTTCTTGGAATTTCTACCAGGATCTCATCAGTACTTACTTACGATACTCTCAATATACTGGTCGCTAGCACAGGTTTTTGCTACGCTTGTGGCATGGCCGTTGCTTGGAAACTTGACATGTCAACAGACGGAGGATACATGTACAAAAGGAGAAAACATGGGTTGGCGGTATTTCGTGCTTGTAAGTAAGACTTTACAACCATTTATGAGTAGAAACTCACATCGAAAATCAGGTCATGGGCGGCACAGCATTGATCATGTTTGCTATACGTTTCATCTTCTTCACCATCTTCGAGTCACCAAAATACCTCATGGGCAAAGGTGAAGACAAAAAGACCGTTGAAGTGGTTCATGAAGTCGCCCGTCGCAATGGCAAAACATCCCCGTTAACAGTTCAAGATTTAGAAGACTGCAACCTCGTTGCACAGCCAGGAGTCGCTCAGCAACAAATCACCGCAGCAGCCGTAATCAATCGAAACCTCCAGAAGCTGGATAGTTCGCATGTCAAGGCTCTTTTCGCCACAAAAAGGCTCGCCTTTTCTACCAGCGTCATAACCATAGTCTGGGCCTTTATTGGCCTCGGATACCCTCTTTACAACGCCTTCTTACCCTACATCCAAGCAACTCGAGGCGTAGACTTTGGCGACGGCTCGACATACATCACATACCGCAACAGTCTGATAATCGCTGTTCTGGGCGTCCCAGGCTGCATCCTCGGCGGTGTCTTGGTTGAAACACCTTTGATTGGCCGCAAAGGTACTTTGGCTACATCCACGGTGCTCACGGGCGTCTTCTTGCTTTGCTCCACTACCGCTCTCACTTCGGATAGCCTGCTCGGCTGGAACTGCGCATACAATTTCATGAGCAACATTATGTATGCCGTTTTGTACGCTTACACTCCGGAGATCTTCCCAACAAAGGATCGGGGCACGGGCAATGCTATCACTGCGAGTGCGAATAGGATTTTTGGTATCATGGCTCCTATTGTGGCTATGTTTGCGGACCTGGAAACGAGTATACCGGTGTATGTGTCTGGGGCGCTTTTCATTGCCGCTGGGCTGCTAGTTCTTGTCCTACCGTTTGAAAGTCGTGGAAAGGCTAGTATGTAAGGGAGAACATTTCACGAAGCAAAGACCCTTGGAATGGTAACGTAGAATCATGAGAGGTATTGATCCCTCCTGCATAATTGCGAGAAACGAACTCTGCGCCTATACCCTTCTATACATAGCACTGCGCACGAATATATGTCTCAATATCGCTTATATTTCCCCCTGCTTTTTCAAAGGTTCTTACCAACCCTATACCTAGGACGTACGAAAGCATGGTAAGGATGTGGTTATTCTATCCGTATGGTAATGCTGAGCTAGGTATGGGTTAACGATACTATCATGTGAGCCCTGATATAGATAGCGTCACGTGAGCTTTCCCGACAATCAGATGTAGCCTTAACTAATTTTGTGAAAATATAAGACAAGAAAATTCAATATTCTGATACATACGACCACCAGAAATTGAGACCTAGCCATCCCGTCCGATCTGGCATATATAAGCAGTTTACCGGCGGATTAGTAGTCAGGTGGGTGACCACTGGCGAATCCCCGCTGTCGTATGTTTTTATGATTGATTTTTGCTAGATCTATACAAGTCACGTGATTATGTCTTGGCACACCAACAGTGCATGAAACAATTAATTACTCAGCATAACTTAGTCCTCATATTAGCCACTGATACAAGCCTTGCTGCGGTATCCTGAAGTTAGACTAGTCATACGTTTTATTCTCGTGCAGTAACTGGGACCACGAAATCATTTGAAAAATGTCAGTATAGGATGACTAAGATGACGTCACCCCATCTACTCACCCAACTTTTCCACCTCACCCTGCCACACACCCTGACAGCACACTAGTCCTGAAACACCCTCCAAGATGAGCGAATCAAAGGAAATGGTAATTATACTTACCGGTGCTTCAAGAGGTAAGCCAAGCTTCTACCCCCATGCCTTTCTACCAAGCCACCCATCCCAATATTTCCCTTTTTATCTTTCAAAGTGGCATGTCAAGAGCACGTGCAATCCCAACATACTATCCACCAAAACCACCCTCATCGTAACTCAAACGCCATGACTGTTCACTTGCTAAACCGTGGTTCAAAATAGGAATCGGCCAAGCAATAGCCCACCATCTCCTCTCCCGCTCCCACAAACTAATCCTCATATCACGCACGCACTCTGCCCTCGATGCGCTGCACTACCAGTATGGTTCCGAAAACGTCGAGGTGCTCGCAGGTGACATGTCGAACCCCTCTATCTCCAAACGCGCCGTGGAACTAGCGCAAGAGCGTTGGGGAAGGTTGGATGCCGTGATTGTGAATCATGGAACTTTGGATCCCGTCAAGAAGGTAGCGGATGCGGGGGTAGAGGAGTGGAGGAAGGGGTTCGATGTTAATGTTTTCAGTGCGGTCGGATTGGTATGTTGAGATTCTCATGGTTTAGGTCTCTTGTTCTTTTTTTTTTTTAGATATGAAGTGCTAACGTGATATGTAGATTCAAGCAGCTCTACCGTCACTGCGTAAAACAAAGGGTCGAATCATTCTTACTTCTTCGGGAGCAGCAGTGTCAGCGTATCAAGGCTGGGGATGCTATGGCGCGGGTAAAGCGGTGCTGAATCATCTTGCGTTGACGCTTTCGGTGGAGGAGCCGGATGTTACTACCATTTCCATTCGACCGGGTGTCGTGGATACGGAGATGCAGCGGGAGATTCGCGAAGTGCACCATGAGCGAATGAGCGAAAAGGACAGGGAAAAGTTTAGCGGGCTGAAGAGCAGTGGGGGTCTTTTGAAGCCAGAGCAACCTGGAAACGTCATCGCCAAACTTGCTGTCAGCGGCGGAAAAGAACTTAGTGGCAAGTTTCTCAGTTGGAACGATGACAGTCTCAAAGCATTTCAGGACGAATAGTAGTGAAATAATTATAGCATGCATAGGTCGTTATCATAATTTAGAATCTACATTATAGCATCATCATCTCGCTCAAGAGCCCTTTCAGACTTTCTATACGCCTTTGTACTCTAGGACGCGTTTAATAGTTGACGAAATCTCCACGCACTTATTTGGCAGGCCGGCCAGCCAGGGTATCAATCTCTGTAGGCTGTGATGGGGCTTGCGGCCTACCAGACAGCATATCCACCGTCTCCTTGAGAGCCATCCAGAACTCATGCTTAGGGCGTCTTCGGTGCCACTCGGTCTCCCGCTTCTCAACAGACTCCATGGGGGAGAAGAGCAACTTGCTGCCCTTGATACCAATGACACTAATGGACATGGCATCATCCTCAATTTCATCGGGTGACATACCAGCATAGCTCTCTAGATGCTGCATGGCCTTGGTAGCGAACCTGACAGCCCTGACACGATCCATTGGAGAGGGGATGGTGCCTTGCTGGAAGTGACCAGGTACTCCGTGACGAGATTCGAACTTGCCTTTGCCAGCTTCGGCAATCATCTGTGCAATAATCTGTACAGAGTACGTCTTTGATGCCTTTTCGTTAACCAAGATCACTTTGCCAGATCTGCTGATACCCTGGTCTTTTGCGAATACACTACGCAAGTGGTCAATATCGCGGTCCAGCATCTTGAGGTCGATGCCGTCTTCTGGTGTGTACACTGCTAGCGCTCCAATACTGAGACCAGCGACAGTCGCAATGTAACCGGATTCACCACCTTGTGTCTCAATGACGAAGACACGACGGCGGGTTGCGGATGCAGATTGGCGACAGGCATCAGAATATTGAATGAGGGCATTCAGACATGTATCCGAACCGATCGAGTACTCGGTACCAGGGACATTGTTTGAGATGGTGGCGGGGAGAATAACCTAAGCTTATGTTAGTACATGCTTCATACGCCACAAACCCCAAATTCGTGTTTGAAAATGCTTACCATGGGAATCTTGAACGCCTTGTAGTGTTCGCGTGCTTTTCGCAGTTCAGAAACTGCCGTAAACGCCTCGAATCCACCAACGACAAACAAAGCCTGAATGTCGTACTTCTTAAAGACAAACGAAACAGTTTCCAGGTCCTCACTAGGAAGTCCGCGGTTTGTGCCAATCTCAGATCCTCCCTTGGATGCCCAAGTCTCAGCATCAATCCACTTGATGTCTCGCACCGCGCCGATTGGCTCATCGGAGTGATGGCGGATGATACCAGGGAAACCGTTGTGAAGTGCGACTGGAGTGTGGCCACGAGCGAGGCAGTGCGCTACGGCGGCACGAGTAGCTGCGTTCATTCCTCCAGCTGGAGCTCCAACGTGAATGATACCAACGCGCATGCGCTTGTTCTCGGGCAACAAGAGTTCGGGCTGGTCGGCTGCTGTAGTGATCTTGTAGGCCTGGTATTGCTGTTCGAATTCAGTGTCGCGGAATTGCATAGCCTTGTGGAAGTCCTTGTTTCCGATAGCTACGGCAACTTCCTTGGTCTGAGCAACGGCCTCGAGGAGCGGGCGGCGGACAATCTTATTCTCTTGCATACAGATGACAGGGCTGGGCACTTCGGGGCTAGCTTCCAAGACTGCCTTTACTGCTTCAACACCTTGGAGTGTTGACAGCATACGATCGTAAGCACATGGTGTGCCTCCACGTTGGACGTGTCCAAGCGTAGTCACACGAGTGTCGAGCTTTGCATCGTTTGCAAGAACGTTCTTGACGTGCTCTGATGTGATTTTGTTGAGATTGCGATCGATGGCGCCTTCAGCGACGACGACAATCGTCTTTCGCTTTCCCATTTGCCTGTGCTTCTTGATCTGTCGACACATTTCTTGTTCCCAGCCCTCTTCTGGTGGATTCTCTGGGATGAAGACAAAGTCTGCGCCAGTTGCAACACCAGCACTAAGGGCAAGCCATCCGCAATGCCGGCCCATGACCTCGATGACGAACGCTCGCTGGTGGCTTACGGCGGTAGTATCGACGGAGTCAATGGCTTCGCAGATACGGCCAAGTGATGTGTAGCAACCAATGGTGGCATCGGTCATGGACAAGTCATTGTCAATGGAGCCGACGAGACCGACAATGTTGAGGTGTTTGAAGGGCTCAACCTGCTCCGGCGTGAGCTGCTTATCTTTGACCAACTCGTCTAGCAGTTCTGGCCACTCTGCGCGGAACTTGTCTGCACCGGTGAGTGAACCATCGCCACCGCAGATGATGAGGGCGTCGATTCCCTTGATAATCAGGTTCTTTGCGGCTGTCCGGCGCCCCTCGCGCTGCATAAACTCCATGCATCTCGCTGTTCCGATGAGGGTGCCTCCTTCTGACAGGAAGCCTCGAACATCTTCCCACTTCATCTCCTTGATCATGTCGCCGCCTTTGACCAGGCCGTCATAGCCCTCGTATATGGCGTAGGCCTCGCAGTTGTTGTGAAGGGCCGTACGGACAACGGCTCGTACTGCACCGTTCATGCCAGGCGCGTCTCCTCCGCTAGTCATGACTCCAATGCGCCTCTTCTTGCCCTCGAGGGGCGCCGGGACGTCGGTGGGCGCCATATTGTGGTGGTGGTAGTGGTGTGATGTAGTAGTAGAGGAATGGGCGGGGTGGGCGGAGAGGGCAGAATAGAGGGGCAGGTGACAGGTGAATGTGAGGAAAGGGGGGGGGGGGGTTATCAAAGGCAGTGAGTGCAGGATAGAAAAGATATTTGGACGTGGGTCGGTATGAGGTCAAGGTGGATTCACGCGTCTACTCTAGCAGAAAACTTGCGGACGCCAAAAGAAGCGGGCCCCTGCGTGTTGAGGAAGCTTCGATGGGCAGAGGTGGGATGGTGAGAGACGGAGGGGTAGCTTTGCCGAAGGTGCCCTGGAGAAGCGCAAGTCACAACCTAAATACTACAGCGCAATGGCTGGCGCGTCCTATCAATGAGGTGGCTACTGCTGCGTGGGACGCCGGCGACGAGGGCTAAGAAGACGGAGTATGTATGCATGTGTTTGCAGCCGGTGAAGAACAAGCCATGGTCTGATTTGACGGTGCAGCTAGCCCAATGACGTGGGAGCCTTCAAGAAAAGAGCTCCCCGGTCCGCCAGGTGGGGTCGCACCACCGCACCACCAGCGATCCGCAGTGCAGGCCAAGAAACACCAATGCCATACTTTGCACTGCCAGCGCCTCTGTCCTTGAACGTCTCACTCGCTGTCTCTTCCTGCAGTCCGGTCACGCCACCTCTTGTCCGCTTCAGGACGAGCAGGACGAATTCAACCGGGATTCAGTTGCGACCATGATTGATTCGTTGAATTGATTGGTATCACCCCACGCCGGTCCAAACAAACCTGTCCAACAAGCAACTACTAGTGTACATGCACAAGTACGCATATGTACATAGATATATGCCTCGCACTATGGCCAACACCACGTTCCACGTTCCACTACACCATTTCCATCAAAAAGCGCCAACTTCCAGACCCTCTCGCGCCAACGTCTCAAACACCCTGGGCGGAAGTTTATACTTGATCAACCCAGCAAATACCATTAGGTCCTTAGCCTTTTGCAGCAGCTGGTCCGCCAACACCTTGCGCATCTGGTCTTCAAATTGTCCAGAAAGAAGATGCTCCCGATGTCTTGAACAGCACCCAATGCACCATAGTAGCACATTGCCAATGTTCCGCGATATCTCCTGAGGATACGAGTTGAAGCTGTTGGCTGCGGCCCGAATGTCGCTAACGTTGCCTCCAGCAGACAGTGGGAGGATGCGGAGATTCTCAATTTGCTAACAAACATGTCAGTGGGAACCAATCTAGCCTGGTCATCTGAAAACTTACCCCGAGTGCTGCCATGTAATCACCAGCTTCAATCACTTTCTTGGCATTGTTAAGCTGGAACAGGATGCCCACCGCCTCGCGGTTCACCTGCGAAACCTTCTTCCACCACAGACTATTTGCATTGTATAGAGCCAGGACCTTCTGGGCAAGCTCCACAGGATCATCTGTTCCAAGCATACTCAAGCTTGACGACGCGTCCGACTGCTGTTGCTGCTGTTGCGACTCGCCTGCGTTCAAGCGTGGCTTGAGTGGTTCCAGACGAAGTGGCTCTTGACCAAGCTCTACCGAAAGAGCCTCAGCAAGCGCACGGTTGAGAATTGTGACCACACTGTCATACTCGCCGGCCAAGTGGCACAGCAAAATGGCATCGTTGATGCGTCCATTATCATCTGCCATTCTTGCCGCTTCGCTCGTGATTGTATTGAGTAGACCCGTTTCGCCATCGAGTTTCAGTAACGGCACACGTTCTTGGATGAGACCAGGCGTTGTTTGCCCATTCGACTTGACGTCGCCTAGCAATGTGGAAAACTCGCGTGTTTCAAGGACAAGCTCACGGAGTGCCTCGTGGCAAAGGTCTGCTTGCTGCCTGCCCGCTTCGCCCGGTAGGTCTGCATTCATGCATATCAATACCAAGTAGTCAGCTGCAGCATCGGCTCGGGCCGCCCGGAAGTCACTGGTGTAGTATCCAATCACTCGTCCAAAGTTCAACTGCGGTTGTTGTCTTGTTGTGTAGGTCAGAATCTCGCCTCCAGCTGTTGTCCAATCGGAAACTCGCAAGAGCCCATAGTAGTCCAGAGCAATGGCGAAATGAACCGCAGACACGTAGTTGTGCGTGTAGAGGTAGTTGACGGCAGGCTCGAACAAGCCAGCAAGTGTAGCAAGATAGAAGTATACCCCGTATCCACCAGCAGATTCCGCTGTGTCGTTCATGAAGTGACGTTGGCCAATATCCTTGATCGTCGTCCGCAGCTCTTCCAAGCCAAAAATCTCGCCAGCGTTTTCTTCCGCTCTGTTGCCTTCACGAGCCAAGTTGAACTGCAGCCACACCCAGTCATCCATGGTCTCCCTGATAGGCTCCAGGTTGCGCTTGCTCATGTCACATCGGCCTACAATCTTGTAACAGGCCATGCGGTAAGGATCTTCGGGCGTCTTTAGACGAGTCCTCTGAGCATGTGTGTGACCCACCTTTTGTTGAGTGTCCGGGCTCAGTCTACGGTCAGGATCGGTAGCGTATTGTGTGATTGCCGATTGAAAGTTTCTATCGGTGTTTTGGAAAAAGTTCCTCTTCTCTCGGACATACTCGGCCGCTTCCGTCAAAAGGCCACCTCTTAGCAGGAAGAAAATGATGATCCATGGGAACTCGTCTCCTGCTTCTCCTATCCTCTGGAACAACTCGGTATCCGCACCGAGCTCCTTAAATGCAGCTTTGGCTCTGACAAATCCACGAATCTTGTTGAGCATGGACGGAACACCGCCAACAAGCGCTTCTGAGGGATTCTTTCGCAAAACCTCATCTACATGTTCCAGGAACTTGTTTTCTAGGTACTTGCGAGAGCCATCCAGTATGCGCTTGCGCATTCGCACGCTCGCGACAGAGTTGGGCTGGTCGTCCAGATAGTCCTTGGCGAAGCTCCGTTCCTTGGGCTGGTTTGAACCCGGGTTGGATGCTTCTACTTCAGTCTTCTCACCAGTAATAGAAACAAGTGCTCCGTAAGCATTGATGAAATGATCCGAGTACTCAGTGCCAGCAGCCTTCTCCACACTGGAGAAAGAGTGAAGCACGGAGAACGACTCTTCACGTAGCCTTGCTTCATTGAGCCTCTTGACCTCGTCCATGAATTTCTCTTGTTTGTCTCGTGCATATCGGTCTTGGAGTCCCACTTGCCCGCCCATGACGGATTTTTCAGAAACATCTCGGCCACCTAGCACACTTTGAGAAGCACCAAGGACAGGTGGTCCAGCAGCGGAAGCTCCAAACGTCGATCGTCCATTGACTGATGCCCCATTGGGGCCAATGGAACGACCCTTACGTGCTGTAGCACGTCCGAAAGCCCCTCTAGCTGTGCTACCAAAGGCGCTCTGCGAGGCTGCCATGTCTTCGCTCTGTCTGCCCAGACCAAAGTGCTCGTAGATCCTCTGTCGCTGTTTATCCCATTCAATCTGCACATTGTCCTCCAGGAAGGTGTCGAAGTCGCGCTTGGACTGCTCTAATCCTTCTTGGATGAGGGCTAGGGTGGATTGCGAATGCATGTTGGAGATGTAACCGTCCACGTCGTTGTCGAAGAGACTCTGAGCCTGGCCAGGTGTAGCGAGGCCTGCCTGGGAAGAGAACTGGTTGAGATCTCGGAGGGTGCTGCCCATCTTCACGCCAGAAGCCGAGAGCAGATAGTGGCTGGAAAGCGTCAGTACAAATCCGTCTGGTAACCGCACACCCAACTTACGCAGCGCGGTCTTGAGCGCGATCTTGAACCTGATCCGCCGAAGGGCCTCCAGAACCTAAGTTTCGCACCTTGCGTGCAATGTCGCCAAGACCCAACTGGAGCGACGGCAGCTCGTCAAAGTTACTGGTACCATTCTCGCCAGCATTGCGCTTACGTCCCCGTTCCAGGAGATGATCGAAATGAGCGGAGCGGCCGGAGCCTGCGTTTGCCTGAGCCAGCGACGCGCCTTGTTGCTGGGGTTGCTGGGTCTGCTGCTGGGTCGAGGTGGTATTGAAGAGCGAGGACTGACCAAGGCCGCCCGTTTGTTGCGTATTGTTGGTGGTCGGTTGCGCCGCCGTGTTGCTGAACAACGAGAAGCCGCCCGTTTGTGGCTGCGATTGCTGCTGGGGTTGCGTTGTCGATGCTGCGCCAGCGAACAGCGAGGGTGTCGTGGTAGCAGTCGACTTTGCTGCACCAAGGCCGCCGAACAGACCGCCGCCTAGGCCTCCGCTGCTTGTTGCTTGCGCCGTGCCAGATTGCGCATTGGATGTGCCTCCGCCTAGATTGCCAAACAAGCTTGATGTCGTGCCGCCCGATGCGCCTCCTGCTGTTCCAAACAAACCTCCGCCTGAGGTGCCAGTAGAAGCAGGCTGCGAGCCTCCAAGATTGCCGAACAGCGACATGTTAAGTGCGTTGGGCTGTGTTGTTGGTGGTGCCGAAAACAAACCTGGAGCAACGAGATCGCGTTGTTGAACCAACAAAGCTCGGGCACTTTTTATCCCTGCCAACTTCAGGAACCGCGTTAAAGTGAGAGCGTGGGTACCATCCCATGTCTACTCTACCATACAAATGACAGGACCCCGGTATGCTATCAGGCTTTAGTCATCCCCACCTTATCATTGTCTTCCTCAATTATCTCGGCTTACATCAAATTCAGCACTTTTGGCCTAAAATTTTATTTGTTCCGGGCTGAGAGACGGGAAAGATGCTTCTCCAAGAAATTATCACAGACTTTGTACCCATGAGTGATTGTAAACTGGAAGAATAAAAACATTCCTGTGTTCCTGGTAGTAGTATGCGCAAACGTTTAACCTAGTCACCATCCCATAGCAATCCGTCTGTATAAATCGCATTCATTTTTTTGCAGCCTAAGCCGGCAAACATCCAACAGTATAAATCCTTTAAGAGTGTGAGTGAATTGCAACATCCAGAGAGAAAATCTCATCATTTCAGTTTCGTTTCCCACTGTACAAATGACCAACTCTCATATACCCAACTTGCCCGTGTTCGTGCAGACGGTTGACGGATTCAGACACGAACCAGCAAGGTACAATCCCTGTCAGCGAGGATGGTACCAGGACGGTCGAAGACTGCGACCTGTAAAGACCTCCAAGGCCTTTATATGGCCAAAAGATGGCAAGAATGGGTCATCGTGGGGCCGTATAAAAGACGTTCTCCGCAACACTGGGCCTGATATATACGTTGGGTTTGGTGCTCGTTCTATAGACTGCGTATCCAGCCGTCCCCCTCGATCTCAATGGGCTGGACATCCCCATCTTGACGAACCCGGCATGACGTATGGCTTCAACTCGCAAAAGTTCGCCCCTTGGACCAAGTCTCGCATGCTCGGCGGACGACAGTCCGGCCTAAGCTATGATTTTCGAACCCGGAAACACGCCGAACCAAACCGATCGACGTGGACAGATGCTGTTTGGCAACAGGAGCCATACAGGAACAGGAAGTCGAATCGTTACCCAGAAGCCGTGCGAACGGTGAATGGAGTCTGGTTCCAGGACACTCAGTACCTACCGCAGGTTTTGGGTAGCCACGTGGATAACGAGTTCGGCGTCGGGCTTCCATTTTACCACCTCATTTGACTTTACTATCACTACGTAAAGATTCAAAGCGATCAGGTGCAAGCTTCAATCACTCAAGGCAGCTCTCGTGGAGTGCTACCCAGACTGTATCCAGGCTTTCATCTGCTGTAGCAACTTGCTTGCTTCGTCGCGCGGTAGGCGTCAAGGCGGCACTATCTAGCATCTTTGAACATTTGTCACAAGATATCCCTTTGACAGTCTTGTATGCAGCAATCATGTCCTAAAATGGTCAATATGTGTGCCCATAGTGTCTTCGACGCGCATGTTATAATGCAAACATACCAGTAGATATCTCAAGTCGTTTTTGTTTGGCCGTGAGGCGATACAACGCGTAATTGCCAAACAGGATTCGGTTGTCCCTAGGCAGTCTGCATTGAGCTTGTGACGACCGTTTGCTTCACGCTCGATAGTGACGCGAAACTTGAGCATAAGAGAACTGGCAACAAAACGAATCTACAATAAAGGTGAGCGAAATGAAGCATGCAAGTGAAGCGATAACTTTACATGTATGCCGTGGTCATCGTCGTTGGTCTCGACCTTGAGAGCCTGATGCGCCTTGCGAAACTCGACGACTATACGAGATATGTCACTATCCGTAAACACGGCGCCGGTATCCTCGGCAGTTTTGCTCCCGCTTTTGCTTGTAGATTTATTTGCTTCCTGCTCCCTTTCAACCCAGCCATGGGAGGGGACCGAGACAGCCTCGGACAAGTCGGCATTTGCGCCAAAGCTCTGCTTGGCATACCCAAATGTGTTCTGTACCTCAGGAAGCTTCCAACGATCCTTGAGCGCATTGAGGCCAGTCTGAGAAGAGAGTACGCCCTCGGCGTATAACTTGTACGTTGTTGAATTTGGGGGTCTGTGAAAGGGCTCGATTATCCGTGGAATAGCTAGGCGAAGGTCGTCCATCTGCAAAAATGTCAATTTTAACCAACTAGACATGCGAACCCATGTGTACCTGCGTCTGCAACTGTTCCAGTTGGGCGAGGGCTGCTGTACACTGCGCTTCATCCCAGCCCCCGCTGGACCCCACCGAAGTATCGGAAGCTTCCATAATAAGAATAAAGTCAAAAAGAACAAGCAAAAAATGGCGACCAATGCGCGATGGCGACCAAAATACAATACGAAGATATAGAGTGGTGTAGAACGGTGACGTGAATGGGTGGTTGGTGGGTGTTATCCCTGTCGCATTGAAGTTCGACGAGCACGCCAAAACTCACGGACGCTCGACAATCGGCACTTCGGATCCACCCCCGTCGTTCTTCTCCACACATAGACGCGTTTTCACGTGCTCGGCATTCGCCCCAAACAAGGCAATTCGCTGACTGGGCTCTCGCTTGAAGGCCTGTTCGGTTGCGCGTTTTGCGGTTGCGTTTTTGATACCTATTCGGGTATAGAGCTTTAGTAAGGGGGACCTGGCTAGCGTTACGATTTGGCTTATCTGCTAGATAGATGATAAGGGTAAAGTAAGCACGAGACGTAGCTTTTTCTATTAACGCTACGTTAACGAAACACAGCAAGGGTTATTGCTTCAAAAGCGCACGTTTTACCGAACACGATAGCGATTTTAACTGCGGTTCAAAAACGCAACTGCAAACCGCTGAACCGAACAGGGCCTGAATATTAAGTTGTGCTCTGCATGATAATTCCAACTAATGAATACAATCTAACATCCCATGCGCTTCTGGAAAAACGCCTATCTACAATATAAACATGTCCATGGCCATCTATAATTTTGACTTTTCTATGGCTACTTTTTCCTTTGGCCCAAGAAGCGGATCGTACACGTTCAAGCCTAGCGTGTCTTGTGGCACAGGTGCTGTGTGCATGCTCAGTCCCCTGGTGTCAAGCATAGAAGGATTCAAGTCGGCAATGCTTGCAGCCCCAATCAGGCGCATGTTCATTTCCATTTCATCTTTCAACAATTGCATGGCGCGATCAACACCTGGCAGACCATACGCCGACATGGCGTAAAGGAAAGGGCGGCCAATACCAACGCCCTTGGCACCCAGCGCTACAGCCTTGATGATGTCTGTTGCTCTTCGCACACCACCATCAATGTATACTTCGATGCGGTCTTGCCATCCGCGCGCGCGAAGAACTGGCATGACTTCAGCAAGAACCTCTACACCAGAGCGGGCGAACTCGAGCTGACGACCACCATGGTTGGAGAGGACAACACCATCTACGCCAATCTCGACGGCGCGGATCACATCCTCGACACATTGCACGCCCTTGAGAATGATGGGCATCTTGGTGATGCTCTTGAACCACGGGATGTCCTTCCAGCTCAGGCTCGGGTCAATGAAGGACGAGATGGCCCGTGCGGCGCCCTGACTGCGGTCCACATCGCCGCCGCTAGTGCTCTGGACATTGCTGCCAACGTCGTCAAACTTGCTTCGCATGTCTTTCTCGCGACGACCGAGCTGTGGAGCATCAACAGTGATGAAGAGACCTTTGCAGCCTCGCCTCTCGGCATGCTGCACGATGCGCTTGGTGACTTCGCGATCCTTGTTGACGTAGAGCTGGAGCCATTGGACTTGACCGTCTTTTGCTTCATCGACAATCTCGTCGAACGAACACGATGCTAATGTAGGAATCATTTGGATCACGTTGTGCTTGTGTGCGCCGCGCGTGAGGACGACCTCTCCCTCTGGGTTACCGAGCTTTCCCAGGGCGGTGGCGGTGACGTAGAAGGGTATGTCGCACTTTGTGCCGAGCATTGTGGTGGACATGTCGACCTTCTCAACATCTACGAGGACGCGTGGTCGGAACCAGATCTTGTGGAATGCGCTGTGGTTCTCGCGCATTGTCTATAGAAAGACTGGGTCAGTGTATATCCGGGCTGCCAGAGGCCTTGAGCACTCACAATCTCGTCGTCAGCACCGCTCGAGTAGTACGCCCATGCCGTCTTCTTCATGACGTTGCGGGCGACAGCCTCAAAGTCCATGAGGTTGTAGCATTGCTCGAGAATGGGCATACGCTCAATGCGCTTCTGCCTCGCCTCCTCATCAGGATCGAATTCCTTGGCCTCTTGCTGCACCGTCGCCATGTCTACCTCGCCCAGGTGCTTTGACTTGTCGAGGTACTTGTCGAGCGTGTCGGGCGGGTGAATTGGCTCGTAGGCCTCGGTGGCGTCTTTGCCGGCATACTTCAAGATGATCTTGGAGCCGCCGGGGTGCTCAGGGAGGAATTCAGTGACATCGTAGGCACGGCCGTGAACAATGACCCAGCAAGAGTCTCTGTTATTGTGCGAGGAGACCTGCTCGCCGGTGAGCTTGTTGCGCTGAGTGTTGTTGCTATTGTGATTCATACTGGGCAGTGGGTGTAGGTGAAGATTTCCCCAGAGACGGAGGAAGATATATGGAGATTAGCTAGCTTATGTCCATGCATGGGGGCTGGTCGGGTGGACGGAAAGCCACGGATGCTGACGGCGGTTTGGACAAATACCAGTGATACGTATGGAGGGTAGATGTATGTATGGACGCATGTCTCCAAGTACTAGGCCTGCTAGCTCGGTCCATCTGTTTCCGTACGTTAGTCTGGGTGAGCATCGAGCACCCCGGTACGGTCCTTTTTTTTTCTCCTACACAGTCACTGCACGTGTGCATCCATGCATGTGTGCACTTACTGTATATGTACACACGCATATCCGTACATAGAGTATGTACTCGCCGCAGCGCCGAAACGCGGGGAAGACACAGCGGGCTGGGCATGACGCGCACCACTGTTGACTTGCCCTAATGCCCTAATACTGCCTTACTACTCTCAACAGCACAAATACAGGCGACGGGACCCTCCCCCTTCTCTTCGTGAGCGTCACCCTGCGGCCATTACACACAGCCAATGTCTCCCATCGCCCGCCACTCTCGTTTGCCCACCCGCGTCATATTGGCCAGCGACGGCCGTCACATGGTGCTGTTAGCCAAGACAAGGGCCGCAAGCGCCAAACGGTGCGGGAGGCCTGTGTGGTCCATATGTCATTTGTCTCTGGCCCTCTGGCCTAAAATGTCCCCAGGCTGCTTCTGCGCGCCTCTGCCTCTGTCGACGACGGCACACGTTCTGCTCGCCATGCCACTTGCCCTGCTACCGCAACCACCGCAGCCTCACTCGCCTCTCCTGGCCCGGCCCACCGTCTGCCGCTGACCCACCCCCACCCCCGTCACACTCCCCCCGGGCCCAGTTCGTTGCCTCTCGCCTCTCCTCGCCAGCCCGCCATGTCCAACAGCCTCGAGGCTAAGATCGTGGTTCTCGGCAGCCAGGGCGTGGGCAAAACCTCGCTCGTCCACCGCTACGTCAAAAACGCCTTCACCCCGCCCACTACACAGTCGACCGTCGGTGCCTCCTTCCTAACAAAGAGAGTCGTCGACATCGACACTTCCACCGTCGTCCGCCTGCAGATATGGGATACAGCAGGCCAGGAACGCTTCCGCTCCATATCCAAGCTATACTACAGAGGTATGCAGCTGCTTCCCCTCAACTGAACCTCGTTTGAGGGATAGAGAAAAAAGAAAACAAAACAAACACAAAGGGACTAAAGCTGATATCGCCTACAGGTGCAAACGCGGCAGTCCTGTGTTATGATATCACAGATCCTCATTCTTTTGACGAAATGGGCCGCTGGTTCAAGGAGCTCAAGACGAACCTTGGAGACGACGCTATCCTCCACGTAGTAGGCACAAAATCCGACATCATCGCCGCAGACCCCACGAAGCGCAAGGTCCCCTTTGAACGCTGCATCGCCTATGTTGCAGAGAACCTCTACCCCGCACAGACTGCACAACCGCACAATGCTCAGTCAAACGGCTGGGGCTCCGTGCCTGCAACATTCCAGAGTGGCTCCATGGCTTCTCCTCAGAGCAACAGGTCCAGCGGCTTCTGGGGACAAGACCTCGGCTGGGACTGCTGTCACGAGATAAGCGCAAAGGATGGCGAAGGCGTGGATGAAGTCTTCCGCGTCATCACTCGCAAGTTGGTTGAGCAGGAGCAGAAGAAGCTCGAAGAGGAGCAACGACAACTGACCATGGCCGGTGTCACTCCAGCCCTAGACAACAACGGCAACGTGACGGGATACTTTGATTATCCTGGCGCTGCTAACGGTAGTTTCCGCCTAGGCGCAGCCGATAAGAGGCGAAGCTGGCTAGGCTTTCCCACTACGCCCGGTGCCGCTGGCCACCAACAAGAGTGGGAAGAAGACATCAATCGGGCACAAAAGAGTAAGAGTGGGAGGTGCTGCTGATCGTATCTCTGCCTTGTCTCGTCGTCTGCCCGCCTCTCCACTAACCCCCATTTCCTGCACACAGCGAGCACACCGATCAGCTTCGTTTCGAGATACCCACCCACTCTTTGTTTCCACGACTCGGTGCTCCAGTGTGTTATTTCTTGCGGCCAATTTGGTCTTCTTACATCCGAGTACTTTCTAGCTTCTGTTATCCATCTCTCTTGGCCCTCTGTTTCGGCGTACAAGGTAGCATTTGCATAGCCAAGTACCAGCGAGCGTGCATTGATCTCAAGTTTCAGAAACTCTCATCTTCCCTAGCCAGTTCTCTTGTTTCACGCATAGCTTCAATTCATAGATTGATTAACATCAGGTATCTTGCATTATGATGTAACTCTAGCGACAGTCTATCAATTTCTAAATGTTTAAACGTGCAGTCATAAGGCGCGTGTCTATAGCCTATACAAATTTGTTCACTCCTACACAAACATGGCCGTGACCCAAAATAGTGGCATCCTTAGCTGCGCCCCGCTTTATCGAAAACCTTCTTACCAAACTTCCAGACTTGCTCCACAGCAAACTTCTTGTCCGTACCAACGCCTTCTTGAAGATCCAGCACTACTAGATCCGCATCCGCACCTTCGTTAAGCGTTCCTTTCACATCCTGCACGCCCAACATCCTTGCTGGTGTCTCGGTGACAGCTTTTAGTGCCTCTGGTACACTGGCCCCTGTCCAGTTGATGAAGTTCGTAATGCAGTCTATGAGTTGGATGCTGCTTCCCGCAATCTTTCCGTTCTCCTCGAGCGTGAGCATAGACCCTTGTTTGATGATACGCGATCCGTTTGTCCAGTCATATGTCCCGTCCGGCATGCCCGCTAGCCGCATAGCATCAGTGACGAGTATGAGGCCTTCGGGATGTGCGTTCCACGCAATCTTGATAGACGTGGGGTGGAGATGGATGCCGTCCGCGATGATGCCAAAGTACGGCTTCTGTATAGAAGAAGATGGCGTGCCCAGAAGACCGAAGATACCCGGGTTCCTGTGGTGTAAGGGCTGCATGGCGTTGAACAAGTGTGTTATCATGCTTGCGCCCGCCCTGATGCCCGCCTTTGCTTCTTCGTATGTCGCTTCCGAATGCCCAATAGACACGACAATACCACGCTCCGCCAGTGGCTGTACGCACGCCAGGGCGCCTCGAAGTTCTGGCGCAAGCGTTATAAGCTTGACAGATGATAACGATTGCAAATGACTAGCGCCATAGCATGTCTCCATGTCAGAGACGCCGTTCTCAGGCTCACAGAGGAGCGATGCGTTGTGGATGCCGTTTTTCGTGGGATTAAGAAAGGGCCCTTCGCAGTGGGCGCCGAGCGATTCTGAGCCAAGGGATGCATCGCGGGCAGCACCGGATGGACCCAGGAACGGTAGAGCCGTTTGGTAAATCTCGGATGGTTGTGAAGTCAGTGTTGGTAGGTATGATGTGACACCCGTCGATACCAGTCTTCGGTTGACTTGAAGTACTCCCTTTCCGTACGCCACTGTTCCCTCGTCTGGTATGACGGAGAAGTCAAAGCCATATGCTCCGTTGAGCTGTGTATCTATCAGGCCTGGGCAAAGGATACGGCCACCCAGGTCGACAATCTCGTCTGGTGCAGTTCGATGTTCGTAGAGCAGCTCTTGCCCATTTATGATCTTCCCGCTCGTAGAGCTGACCCAAAGGTCTTCATCGACGAGAGCATTGCCTCTAACCAGCAAGCAGTTGGTGAACTTGATAACGCCAGAGGATTCATGTGAATCTGCAGGGGCAGAGGGCATGGGAGCGATTGAAGGCATGGTAAGTAAAAAATGGAGCAAAGATCAAAGGATTGGTTGGTTGTGCGCGGTTGAGCAGGCTCAACACCTTTCACAAAAAAATGGCGGCTCTCTTGCTACTTTATCGCGAGCACTTGTTCGCCAGTGACGCCATTAGTCCATCAACAGCGGGCTAAGTTGCCCTTGGGAAAAGTCTACATGGACACATGTGAAGCGCACGCTGCCTGTTTGCACACGCTGAGTGGATACATGGAGCGAAGGAACGCTGCGATGACTACACCAGCCTGATCGGTCTTACCATGATAGTTTCGGAAGGACTACGGGGTTGTGTGAGGTGTCATCGGAGTTGCATGTCGTTGATAACAGAGGGACCAGGGTGGTGTAACGATGCGCAAGGGCCTGTGGCTAGCGGCTCGCTAGCTACTTACCCCAGCTCACGTCGACGTGAATGCTACGGTGCCATCTTCCCCATCTTTCTGTCCACCGACCGACCGACCGAAACTCCATTTGCCAGCCGCGCCCAAGAGCCGGTGCGCCACGGAATCCTACGTCGCATTCACAGTCCGACGCGACGCGCCGGATATTATCATCATGGCCAAGATTGAGCAAATGGATCCTGTATGGGATGATCTCGACAGGTGAGCATCGTGGCACGCTCTCACTCTCGACATGCGCTACGCACCCAAGGACCCTTGCTAACCACTGTTCACCATGCAGAACAATGGTAGGCTGTTTTCACTTAACCGTTGCGGCTGCATTCGCTGACTTCGGGCCATGCAGGGCCAGTTGTTCATGATGGGCTTCGATGGCACGTCGGTGACTCCCCACATTCGTACCCTTATCGAGGAGCATCACGTTGGCTGCATCCTGCTGACTGCGAAAAACCTCAAATGTAATATCACGTGCTTTGATGTGACCTCTCTCTGCGTGCCAAGCTCCTGCTGATACAACACAGCCGCCGAGGACACAACAAAGCTCATTTTTGAATTGCAAAAGATTGCCCATGATGCCGGTCATCCTGTTCCACTGGCGATTGGTATCGACCAGGAAAATGGCGGAGTCAACAGTCTCTTTGATGACATCTACATTCGCCAGTACCCCAGCAACATGGGCATGGCAGCGACCGGATCCACTGACCTAGCATTTGAAGTCGCAAAAGCAACTGCACAAGAAATTGCCGCCTGTGGTATCAACTGGATATTCGGCCCATGTCTCGATGTACTCACTAATGCACGTAACCAGCCCTTGGGCGTCAGAACAGCTGGAGACGACCCTCAGGAAGTGTCTGCCTTTGGGTGTGCGTTCATGCAGGGCTACAAAGAGGGCGGAGTTGTAACACTGGGAAAGCATTTTCCATCTTACGGCAACCTAGAGTTCTTGGGGTCCACGCTTGATGTGCCCATCATCACTGAGTCATTAGAGCAGCTAAGCTTAAGTGCCTTGATCCCATTCAAGAAGGCGATTGAAAGAGGCCTTGATTCTATGATGGTCGGTGGTTGCGCCATGTCTTCAGCTGGACTGAATGCTATGCACGCTTGTCTATCCGAGCAGGTCGTCGATGATCTACTCCGCAAGGATCTGAAATTCGACGGCGTAGTCGTCTCAGAATGTCTTGAGATGGACGCTCTCAGTCACAATATTGGTGTTGGCGGTGGAACCGTCATGGCTGTCAACGCTGGTTGCGACGTGGTCCTTCTTTGTCGCGCCCTCTCGCTGCAACTAGAAGGCCTAAAAGGCCTCAAGACTGGCATTGAGAGTGAGATGGTTTCGAAAGAACGCATCTTTAACTCGCTGAGGCGCGTGTTAACCATGAAGAAGAAGTGCACGTCGTGGGAGAAGGCGTTGAACCCTCCGGGCATCAACTATCTCGAAAAGCTCCAGCCTCTGCATACTGCGCTCTCCACCAAAGCATACAATAGCTCCATCACAGTCGTACGCGACAAGAACAGGCTTCTTCCGCTGACCAATATTCTCGACAGCGAGGAGGAACTCCTTCTATTGACTCCTTTGGTGAAGCCCTTGGCTGCATCGGCTGCATCTCGAGCCATATCTGATGCTGCCAATGGCGCGGCTAGTCACTCTCCAGGGCCAGCTTCCTGGGATCAGAATTCGTCCGTTATGAGTGGAGAACGAGTTTTCAGGGAGCTGGGCCGCTCTCTGGCGAGACAGCGTAACGGGCGACTGTTGCACACATCGTACACAGCAAACGGTGTTCGTCCAGTTCACGAGAACCTCATCAGCCGAGCAAGCGCGATTATTGTGCTCACTGCAGACGCCAATAGAAACCTGTATCAGCATGGATTCACTAAACACGTCTCTATGATTTGCAACATGCAATACACGACTGGCGGAGAGAGACGCGAGAAGCCTCTGATTGTGGTTGCTGTAAGTTCACCGTACGACTTTGCCATGGATAATACGATTGGGACGTATATCTGTACCTATGATTTTACCGAGACTGCGTTAAATTCGCTGGTACGAGTCTTGTATGGAGAACTATCACCTTCAGGAACACTGCCTGGTACGATTAGCAAGAGCCAAAAACTACACCCGTCGAAACAGCACTGGCTGGTTGAGATCTTTAATGAAGAACGAGATGGCAGTGCGTTGGATACACTGATTGCAGCCGTTGTAGAAAGCACCGCGCCAAACCAACGGTCTGAGCTTTCAAGCGCAACATCAAGCTCGTTCATCCTACACCACCCAGAGGTGGAGGAGTCCCATTTTGTCGTCCGTAATAGCAGTACCCAGGCACTGTATGGCTTCTGCTCAACATACTTTTTCAAAGCTACAGGAACTGGAGTGATTGGTGCGTTGTTTGTGGATCCAGCAAGGAGGAAGCTTTCGATTGGACATTCGCTACATAACAGAGCGATACGAACTCTACTGCAGAAGGAAGGCATTAAGAGATTTCAACTGGGATCTCGTCTTCCGAGTATCTATCTCGGTATCCCAACAGGACATGGCAACGAGCGAAAGCGCCTACGGCCATGGTTTGCGCAACTGGGATGGGGCGCGGCACTGTCACGGCCCGTGTGCAACATGGTCGCTCGCAACCTTCAGGCATGGAGTCCACCTGCAGGCATGGCCAAGAGCCTGGCAAGCGCAGGAGCACAGTTTGACCTTGTCTATGGGTGGGACTACGCTGGACCGGTGCTCGACCATATCAAAACCAGTAACCGACAAGGGCTGGCAGAGGTGTACAAGCTCGCACTCACTGATCCGACGGCGTGTGGAATTATTCGGGCAAAGCGGCCGGAAGATGGTGCGCTGGTGGGCACGGTTGTGCTGTACAACAGTCACTCGCGTCTAGCCGAGTACATTCCTTCGCTCAAGGATCTCAACGAGTCGGCTGGTGGCATTTCATCGCCGGTGATATCACCTGGTGTTGGAGAGTACTCGACACTACTGCAGGGATTGATACTTCTTGGGATGCGACAGATCAAGCAGCTAGGATGCAACGCGTGCTTGCTCGACTATGTGAGTATACATATGCCCGCTCCGGTGGTAGGATAGAGATACTGACAAAGGGCAGATGGATGGAGATGGCAATTTTGACGGGTTCTCAGCAATGGGGTTCGATGTCATGCACAATTTTGAGGAAGTGAGCTGTGATGCAGCAACATGGACCATGATACCACCAGCTTAGGTTGGGTAGGGATATGTTTTTTCTTCTGTTTGAGGCGCAATGAAGGAACCCTTTGGCTGGCTGGGACTTGGATGAGATGAAAGGGCATGGTAGGTGTTTATACACACTTAATACATATTCTCTCTTATTGGCTACTACAGATGTGGAGAAGAAAGAAGGATGTGTTTGGCATGGAGGATTGCATCATGGTGGCTGAGAACTAGTCGGATGTCGTGGCATGGGTGCATAGGATGGGCTGCGGGCTTTGTGGAGTGGGAGACCGGATGGTTTCCCTAATAGGTAATTTGGCGCTGACGGGCGCTGCATGCCGCGTACCGCGTACCGCTTGGCTTATAAGTCGCGTCAGGGTTCAAGTGAACAGGTAAATACAGAGGCTGGGATGGCTGGATTTCAGAGAGGATTACTCGAGAGCCACGGGCGGGGTGTAGAGATGGTGCGGAGGGGGGCGCATTGAGGATGTCGGATTTGGTCTTGGCTGGGAGCCGTAAGTACGTAGTATACTTAATGGCGCACGCTGATCGCCGTTCGGCGTGTCCGTTAGAGAAGCCCTGCCGATGAAGCTCGGGAGTGGTGCATATAACTGGGGCTCACAGGACAAGCACACTTGGGTGTGAGTAAGTGTAGTAGATGCATTGGACATGTGCACATATATAGACACGAGGGGTCTGTGGCTGCGGGCGAGGACATGGAGGCTCCCAGGCAGTGCATAGCCACGCGTAGCTGGACGCCATACCCGCCGCCAGACCCTCGCCCCTAAGAGAGAGGCAGGCGATAGAGGCCAGCCGCACGTGTGATGCACCCTCGTCGTCGCACTGCTTGTCCAGCTCTCCCTCGACCGCTGAAGACGGCTGCAAGTATTTCTGGCCGGTGCGCACGCTGTGCAAGCCACGCGCCCACGACATTTCTCTCCCTCTGCCCTCTGCTGTTGTCCTCGCATTCCCCATCTTCTCCGCTCCGCTACCTGCCCTCCCGCACCTCTCCGCTTCCAACCCCAGGGCCCGCCCACGCATCTCCCACCTAACCACCACCACCAACCACCAACCACCTCCGCCGCCCTCGTCGCCGCCCCCCCGTTCCACGCGCCCCCGCCTCTCGCGAGCGCACCTCTCATTGCCGGGTCCGCTCCACTTGCACCGCGTGTATGCGCCGAATCTATAGCGACTCCATCCCCGACGACGGCCACGCCGCCCCGAGCCATGGAGCACTTTGACACGACCACCATGTCGTACATGCCCATGCCGATCCCGTTGCAGACAGTCACGGGACCTGACCAGCAGATGGCCATGCCCTTGGTGCCCGTGGACCAGTACGACCAGCGCTCGACGTTTGATGCCGAGACCTTCATTGGGTACGCACACTCGACCGTGCTTACCATTGCTGCAGCTGCTAACAGTGCTGCTCAGAAGCGAAGATGCCTACTCGACATACCACCTCCAACAGATGCCACCCCAACTCAAGCGCTATCCAAGCACCTACGAAGACCCCTTCTCCGACGTCCAGAGCGGCTACGAGCAGTCGATACACCCGCACGACCAAAATGGCATTCCTGAAAGTCCAAGCATCGACAGCAACAACAAGCTGCTCAGTTTCTCGCTGCCCACCATGCCATACCCCATCTTCAACTACGCCATGCAACGAGTGCCCATATCCATGTCTGCTCAGCTTCACGGCATGTTCTTCCTGGCTGAATCACCCTGGGCCACTGCTGCCGATGGTCAATCGCCGCCCTCCGAGTTGACATGCTACAGAAGAAACCTCTTCCAAATTACCGGCACAGTCACGCTCCCCAGAGCTCTCCACCTTCTCATGACCGAGCAAGGAAATCAAATACCCATCATCGGCCAAGAACTCACCATATCCGCCACAGAATCCCTAGAAGGCAACGCGGTAAAAATCATATCTGTGCCGTGGAAGACACCGGCGACAAGTAACGCTCCTGCCGAGGACAAGACGGAGAAGGAACCACCCACGTATCCGCTCGACCTCTCAACCGGCCAAGATGTCGATTCCGACTATGTTAGCTTTCCTATTAGCTGGAAGCGATTGCAGTTTCGAATTGCAACTGCCAATAACGGCCGAAGGAAGGAGCTCCAGCAGCATTTTGTAGTGAGGCTAAAGGTTGTCGCTACTCTTACCACCGGTATGAAGGTGCCCATTTGCGAGATCCACTCGGGGGCGGTTATAGTGCGAGGTAGAAGCCCGCGCAACTTCCAAGCCCGAAAAGACATGCCAATCAGCGGCGGCACTACCACACGCAAGGTGCACACCCCGCAGCAGCCCAACAGAACCCCGACAGGTGAAACAACCCAAGGCACGCCTAAGCAAGCGCAAGCTCAGGCTGCGGGCCCATCCAAGTCAACAGACTTACTGCAGATGCCCTTTGAGTTCAACGCAAATGACATGCCGCAGTCGCCAGACTTTGCCTGGAAAATGCCCACGGGTGCCCAGACTGCCATACCACAAGACCCGCCTTCAGCTCAAATGCAACATGCCACACCATATGCACAGTCGACTCCGGATATTTCAAGAAGTGCCCCACCTCCCAAGACGTCCATAGCGCCAGTCACTCTGTCCCTTACCGACGATGAGCCCGTTAAAGCCCCTTCGCCCAATGAGCAGCAAAGAAAACGCGGCACCCCGATGCGACCTCCTTCCTTCTCCATCGGCGTCGTCAACAGCCCAGACGAAAGTGCTGACCTGCTCTATGAATATTTTCCTTTAGGTCTGGACGACTGGATGCCGCCTGTCGATGCCGTCTATCGACCCCATGTCGTTCACCATATTACCCCATTTCCCCAAGACGGGAAAGCAGATGCTGGTAGGAGTCGGTCGAAGCGGTACTTCTCGGATGCTTGGTAAGCTCTGGTTTGCGATTTGTGATACCCATGCGTTGGTTTTTGTTTCTGTAATCCCGTCAAGAGCAGTGCCCTGATGATGACCGGAGAGTGGCTCCCCATCTTATGCTTTTTTTGTCTTCTGTTGTTCATATATATATATATGTATATATGTACACTTGGGAGAAGAATTGTCGTCAGTGTGTCGGCAGATACCCTACAATATATTCTTTCAAGAGAAACAAAGAGGCAAGAAGGACAAGAAGGGGAGAGGTGATAATATTTGGTGACGGGGCTGCTCACATTTCTTTTCAAGTTGGGACAAAAGGGGGAGAAGGTTGGCCATTGATCTGTAATCGGCGTTTGACTTACGATGACATGATTTCCTGCTTCCCAACGCTGACACCATGGCACCAACACATGCAATGGGATATTGGGGATGTGGGATACCTTTCGGCAGCTATTTTTAATTATACCGCCATACTTTTTTTTCAATATCATATCGTTACGAAGTCTATCTTTACCAGGGCCTGTTTTTCACATCAGGTTCGAGACATTGTTAGTCTCCCCTCCTTTGCTTAGAGAGTGGATCGTGGTGGTAGAGAAGCTCGTATATCATTCATCACGCAATAGACCGTAATATCCACGTTGCGATGCATCGTAACCTTTTTTCACAAGCATCTTGGGCGTAATGCCACGAAACGCATGTAACCAGCAACCAAGCGCAACAAGGACCGATAGTATCAATATAGGTGAGTATGTAGCGTTACAACCTTGAACATTTCACACTCCATAGTTTCCAAGTACCAAGCCCTGATGTAATATCCCCCCATGTTACCCAGCAATCTCGATTCAACCCCCGGCCAAACTTTGTAACCCAACCCAACCTTGCCTACATCGCCGACCATTTCTCCTCTCCTCGGCAAAAAGAACCCAAGAAATGCAGCCATGTGGCGTAAATACCATGTGGCACTCGCCGCGTAAGTACGCCCCAAAAACCCCAAGGCTGATACCCAAGTCCCGTCCATGCCAGCTCAACCATGCAATGCAACAGTAACACCTCAACCCATCTCATCCCTATGTCCCCAAACAGAAAAAAATCCACAAGCCTCCAACCCCGAGTGTGGGGCAAAGTTCTCCCCCCCCCCCTCCCCAAAAAAAGACCCGAACAAAAAAACCGCTCTCCACTCTTTTTCTTATCTGGGAAACCCTGGAAAAAAGTTCCGCGTGGACAAGTGGTCCAAACTTTCCATACGTACGTCTCAGGATCTTTTTCTACTAATTGGATCGTTGGAGAAAGAAAAAGGCCAAGTCTGATAAGGAAACATTGGGTCTCTCTCTCTCTCTCCACCTTCGAATCTTACCATAACGCCCCCCTCCCCTGCTCGCCCGCCCAGCTCTCCACCGTTACAACGAAAAGCGTGACAAGGATTGGGCACAAAAAAAAAGAGTTGGAGGTAACCGTTTTTTTTTGGTTGGAGAGAGAAAGAGAGAGGGTTACGCTACATGGTTGCGTCCCTCCCCCC